CCAACTTGATGATCACTTTAGATAAGCTATTACCAGCAGGACAGTGGGGTGGGAGGAGGTATTGTTTCATGATCTCTGTGTGTATATAATATCTGCTGCAGTTTCCACGGTATGCATCCGATGAAGTGAGCTGTAGCTCACGAAAGCTCATGCTCAAATAAATTGGTTAGTCTCTAAGGTGCCACAAGTACTCCTTTTCTTTTTGCGAATACAGACTAACCCGGCTGTTACTCTGAAACAGTAAAAGTTGTGCACAGGCCAGCCTACCTGAGCTAGCTTGACTCTAGCTAGTGCACATAATGACAGTAGTAAAGACAAGTGCAATGAGGGCTTCAGTACAAGTAGTTTAAGCCTGGCACAGACCTTGGGTATGTACTCTGCTCACTAGCCTGTACTGAAGCCCCCGCTTCTGTTATTATCCGTGTTAGTTGGATTCAGGCTTGTTCAGAGAGGTTAGTCCATGCAAACTGTTGTTATATAGACATGTCTTTAGCAGTTGTGCAATATGTCACATCTTCAAAGCATTATACGCATATTAGCTAATGAATGTTTACAATCCAGATTACAGTATTTTGGGGGATTACGCATCTGAGGGACTAATCAGACCAAAACTGTGCAAGAATACAAAACCGTCTTAAGCCCATTTCAAAACCTACCGTGTCCAGCATATATATATATATAAAGAACTAGCATGACTGCCACGTTAAAATGACATTTCTCATTTAACTACACAGTGCATTGGGGGCAGACAAAGTTCAGTCTGGAGACTGCAGATACCGTGAGATTGGTGTTTAGAACCGCACAAATTTCCCTGCAAGTTAGAACATACACAAGGCAGGCAGGAGAAGCCCCCTTAGTCCCAGTTCTGAAGCTCCAGGATTGGCACTTGCGTTAAAGGTTCTCAGCTGTTATATATCCCATGGAGTCCTTAACTCAAAATATCCTTTCTTCTCACGGTTTAAATTGGGCTCTTAAGGCCAAAACCTGCCCTCCTATATATATATCTCACCAATTTCAGTGGGACTGCCTGGGTGTAATTTGGGGTAGAACTTGCTCTTTAAATATTAACACGTTATATAATATTTGAGAGGCACTGCTGAAGAAAAACCCTAAAGCCTTCAGCCAAACGCGCAGCTGCATTGAAGCATGCAAACAGGATGCTGAATAGCAATGCCAGAGAAAGACAATGGAAATTAAAGGAAATATCTTGTTTTCATATGAGACGTCTTTCAACTTCCTGGCAGCTTCTTTCAATCATCCTGAAAAGATCCAGGACAGCTAGACAAAAACAGGGGTTTTTTCTCATCTCATTTGTGTCTAATTATTTTCATAGTTATGAGAGAGATCAAAGCACCAACAGAACCTATGCCCCAATGTGAAGGAATCTGAATAGTTTCTGCAAGTCATGCAGCACCAAATTCCTAGGACTTTCAAGCTGGAACATAAGGGAATATGGAATTCCTAATGTGGTATCCACAATGTACCCGAGTTGTGCTTTTTCCTGTTTGTTACAGTGCATTGGTCTCTGGGGTTATTTAATGAGGGCAGGTGTCCACAGTGTAGAGGTATTGAATTGTCTTTGTGTAGTGGTGTTTTAAAAAGGCTACAGAAGGTCAAGGGCCAGGGCCAGTTTGAGATGTGTTCATTCCCTAGGCACAAACCTTTCCATTTCCCCACGTCCCTCCAGATGCGCATCTTGAGTGAAAAGGCACTGGTTAAATTCCATTGAGAATACCACAATGTAGGGTGTCCACCCAAAGGAATCTAAGAACAATTACAGGCATGTACATGAACTATAACGGTACTATCTTCTAGGCTATAAACCACAAGAAAGGCTGAAGAAAATGGTGATTCTGATGCTGGACTGGGACTAAGGTGATTTGGGTTCAATTCCTGGTTCTGTCATAGACTTTCTGTGTGAAATCTGGCAAGTAATTTAATCCCTGCCTTAGTTTCCCTGTCTGTGAAATAGGGATAATAATAGTTGCCTACTTCACAATGGTGTTGTGAGGATAAATTTATGAGATGCTCAGATACTACAGTGATTGGAGCCATAAAAGAAACCTAGTAAGAGAGTGAGAGACTTTTCTGTTACTCACAGAACAGTCACAAATTTGAATTTGGATTAGATTTGCACAGTTACAAAAGAAAACGATACATTTAATCCAAATAAAGGAACCAATTATCTCTTCAGTCCTTTCCTAGAATCCCCAATAATGTGACTTGAAATTAGGGGAGAAACTGCTCCCAAATCTTCAAAGAAAACAAAAATGTGCCAACAAGCTTAAATATTTACAAAATTGAAGGGAAAATGGTTAGTTTAAAATATATTATTTCCTGCTAAAAAGCACAACAGTGCTACAAGTTAATTTAAAATGTAATGCCTTTAGCACAACGTGTTTTATGCAATCTCATATTATATTATTATGCAATATCATACAGTGACGTTATTGATGGAAAAGACTATCAGGTGAATGGTAGTCTTGACTGTGCAAGGATTTAAGTCGCTTCCAGTTCCACTGATTTCACTGGGAATGGAGGATATTCAGCATATTGCAAGGTCAGAATATAGATGCCTATTGTTATCATATTATAACAATGTTTATAATGCACACTATCACAGTATATAACAATAAAATAACTCATTTATATGTTGCTGCTGTAGCTAGCTTACAAAGTTCTGAAGAAAATGTTAGCTTCTTAATAACAGATATTAGTAAGTATCATAACAAAGATGGTTTAGTATTTTGGGGTTTTCCCCCCCGTGTTTGTATACCACCTAGCACACTGGGGTATGCAATGGTCCATGTCTAGGGTGTGAACACTACAAATAAATAAATAAATAATGGGTATTAAATGAACTTGAGTCTCTACTTTTACATTTTAAAACCACTGGAGCTAAAAGGAAAATGTGGAAAATATACAAGGTCTGATTTTGAGCCATTTTGTAACTGGAAGAATTTCAAGTAGGCTAATACTTAGGGCAGTCAAGCGATTAAAATAAATAATCATGATTAATTGTGCAATTAATGTGCTGTTAAACAATAATAGAATACTATTTATATAAATATTTTTGGATGTTTTCCACATTTTCAAATATATTGATTTCAGTTACAACACAGAATACAAAGTGTACAGTGCTCACTTTATATTTTTTATTATAAATATTTGCACTGTAAAAATAAAAGAAATAGTATTTTTCAATTCACTTAATACAAGTACCGTAGTGCAATCTTTTTATCATGAAAGTTGAACTTCCAAATGTAGAATTATGTACAAAAAATAACTGCATTCAAAAATGTAAAAAATGTAAAACTTTAGCGCCTACAAGTCCATTCAGTCCTACTTCTTGTTCAGCCAATTGCTCAGACATACAAGTTTGTTTACATTTGCAGGAGATAACGCTGCCACTTCTTGTTTACAATGTCACCTGAAAGTGAGAACAGGTGTTCACATGGCACAGTTGTAGCCAGTGTTGTATGATATTTAAGTGCCAGATGAGCTAAAGATTCATATGTCCCTTCATGCTTCAACCATCATTCCAGAGGACGTGATGATGACGGGTTCTGCTCGATAACAATCCAAAGCAGTGCAGACCAACGCATCTTCATTTTCATCATGCCACCAGCAGAAGGTTTATTTTCTTTTTTGGTGGTTCCGGTTCTGTAGTTTCCGCATGGGAGTGTTGCTCTTTTAAGACTTCTGAAAGCATGCTCCACAACTCGTCCCTCTCAGATTTTGGAAGGCACTTCAGATTCTTAAACCTTGGGACGAGTGCTGTAGCTATCTTTAGAAATCTCACATTGGTACTTTATTGGCTTTTTGTCACATCTGCAGTGAAAGTGTTCTTAAAACAACATGTGCTGGGTCATCATCCGAGACTGCTATAATATGAAATATATGGCATCATGCAGGTAAAACACAGATCAGGAGACATACAATTTTCCCCCAACGAGTCGAGTCACAAATCTAATTAACGCATTATTTTTTAACAAGCATCATCAGCTTGGAAGCATGTCCTCTGGAATGGTGGTCGAAGCATGAAGAGGCATATGAATGTTTAGCATATCTGGCATGTAAATATCTTGCAATGCCGGCTACAAAAGTGCCATGCCAATGCCTGTTCTCACTTTCAGGTGACATTGTAAATAAGAAGTGGGCCACATTATCTCCCGTAAATGTAAACAAACTTGTTCCTCTTAGCGATTGGCTGAACAAGAAGTAGGACTGAGTGGACTTGGAGGCACTGAAGTTTTACATTGTTTTGTTTTTGACTGCAATTGCAGTCAAAAACAAAACAATCTACTTTTGTAAGTTGTACTTTCACCATAAAAAGATTGCGCTACGGTACTTGTATGAGGTGAATTGAAAAATACTATTTCTTTTGTTTGTCATTTTTACAGTGCAAATATTTGTAATAAAAATAATATGAGCACTCTACACTTTGTATTCTGTGTTATAATTGAAATCAATATATATTAAAATGTAGAAAAACATCCAAAATATTTAATACATTTCAATTGGTATTCTATTGTTTAACAGTGCAACGAAAACTGTGATGAATTGTGATTAATTTTTTTATCACAATTAATTTTTGTGAGTTAATTGCATGAGTTAACTGTAATTAATCAACAGGCCTACTAATACTTTGACCAAAATCAAACAAATTAAACGAAGTCATGTATTCTCTGCCTTAAGGACTACTTATTACTCTGTTTGTGTAGTGCTTAGCACAATGCGTTGGGGCTTCCAGATATAGATGATAATAAATTTCAGCTCTTAAGAGCAAATGTATCTGACTGAGGCTTTCAGTATATTTCTGACATATTTTCCTGCATGGCAAATTGTTAGTAGTCCAATGCACTGAGCTTGCAAATGTGAGCGTTTTAGAAAAGGAGATTCTTGGATGGACGGTATCAGTTAATGGTCAACTATCAGTTAGTTCATATATCCAAGCTGGGCTGTTCAACCAACAGGAAAGTAAAAAGGTCAAACAGGAAGGGATGGATCAGGAGTCAGTTCCAACTAGAGCTGTGGAAGGCTGAGATCTGCCTGCAGTTCACCAGAATGTTAGAATAGAACAAATCAGATTCGGAAAAGGTAGGAGAAATATTATGCTTCATACCTGAGTATCTAGCTGTATTTAGGCTGTTTGTGTTGTAATATTTGATTGTTGGACTCTACTATGTCTGAAAAAAATGTGAGCAACTGAGGGGAATGATTTTAGTAGCAGAGTAGCTTACTGCTTGGTTACAGGGATAGATTTAAAAATAAATGTAATGGTAATGGGTTGTAGTAATAAATTTCAGCAGTGACATTTATGGACATTTTTATGTGATGTTTTTGTTGCTTTTGTCAAGAACCAGGATGTTTCTGTTCTTTGCTTTTTGTTTTCTCTTCTCTTCTACAGTTTATTCAGAATAGGCCAAACTTTTTTAAACCTGAGCACCCAAAAGGAAGGATTTTGATCCATATTTAGACACTTTAAAAATCACCTGGTTTTCAGAAGACCTGCAGTGCACAAATGTTCACAAATGTTCACTTTAAGTTAGGTGCCTAAATGAGGATCTGAATCCATAATTTTTAGGTGCCAAAGTTTGAGAATTTTGAACATAGGATACATTTTTCAAAAACACCGAAGTCCCATTTTCAGAAAGGGGTGTAGGCAATTAGGTGCTTTTGAAAATGTTAACTATGCTGCAAACAGTAGCATTGTCTCTGTTTTAATCTGTCAATGAATAAAAGCCCTAATGAGCTTTTATGAAGGACTGCAAGTTTTCCATTTTACCTCCCCTTAACTTGAGCACTGAGTTTCACAAGGTGCTGTTTCTGTGTAATAGGGTAATACACTGAAATTATATGTTACATTTTTACTGTATCTAAGTGCTGAGAGTATAATACGTTGGATGGAATATTATTATTTTGATTTACAATTGCGGTAGCCCCTAGAGGACTCTAGCAGATCAGGACCCCATTGTGCTTGAATACAAGCACCTAATTAATGTCAGTCTTTGCCATATGAGTCTCTGCTATGAGAAGTTTGCAGTCTAAAAGACAAGATGAAACAGGTAATGAAACAAACAAATTCGGAGAGAAGTGGGTGAGAAGGAAGGGTGAAGTAGCAGCTTTCATAACGTAAACCAATTTATGTTGCAGTGTTGCTGTAGCCATGTAGGTCCCAGGATATTAGAGAGACAAGGTGGGTGAGGTAATATCTTTTATTGGACTTCAGGACTGGAACCTGGACCTGAATATTGGACATGAAAAAGAGCTGTGTGTAGCTCAAAAGCTTGCCTCTTTCACCAACAGAAGTTGGTCCAATGAAAGATATCACCTCACTCACCTTGTCTAACCAAAATATAGGGTGTCTTGAAAATGATGCAACTTCTAAGGGAATTTAGCAGGGTTCAAAGGGAGATTGGACACTAATATGGATAACAAAACTAACAGTTAATGCCAACAAAAAGTATTTGAGGGGAGAGACGCTGTGTTTCATGTTTTAAACAAATCTCTCATTATTAGTAATTAGGATGAGGGCAGATTATACCTCATCATCTACTGTGGAGTTTCTTGCACTTTCTTCTGAAGCACCTTTTGCTGGCCACTGTTGGAAACAGGATACAGGACTAGATGGACCGCGGGTCTGATCCAGGAGAGCAGTTCCTATGTAGGACTATGTTACTATATTGTTCACTTAGCAGGACAGATAGCAGGAACCGAATGGCTCAGGGGCTTTAGAATGGGATAATGGGAAGGAAGCATAGCCCTGCTGTGTGTGGGTCAGAATCTGTAGTGTGGATTAGTTTTGCTGTCCCAATCCTGGCACCAGTTAGACCAGTCTAAAGACTTGTAATTTACAAGAGCTGTCCATGAGCCCCAAGAAGCTCCTCTGAGATAGCTGGGGCATAGAGAAACTCCAGCTACAATCCCTTTCCCTCAGACCATGCCCACTGTGTGGGGATGTGGCTGGAAAGAGGTGTGCCTAGGAGCTACAAAGGTGATTCTGCACCATCCAAGCATTCCCCTAGGTGTGAGGAATTCTTCAGGGGCAAGTTATGCCAGCCTTAGGGCTGCTTTGAACCACTGAGTGGCTGAGGAACTGGTTATTGGTGTCAGGTGGCTTGGGTTATGTTCTTGGCTCTGGTACCGATTTCCTGTGTGAGTCGGAGAAACTCACTTCTCTCTGCGTTGGTTTCCTCCTGTGTAAAACTGGGATAATAAATTATAATACTGATCACCACACAGGAATATTGAAGCAAAATTAATGAATGTTTGTAAAGTGTGTTGGAATCCTCAAGTGGAAGGTGCTATATAAGTGCTAAGTACAATGGTCATCGATTGCATGTAGCTTTCTAGGCCACCAGTTCAAACCTGGCCCAGATTAGAAATGGCTTCCTGGTGTCCTATTCAAAATAAATGGGAGTCCCTCCCAATGCAGATCCTAGTTCTAGTTCCACATTGGAAGACACACCACTGCAGTAGGCAATATGTTAGCCTCAGCGAAGGGTCCAGTAATGGCCACCTTTCTGACCTAAAAACATAGTCTTCTCAACTTTCTCACCTCCGAGGTGTACCTTACAAGTCACGTTTGATGCACAGGGCAATAGACAGCATCTTGCATTGCAATGTTCTATGCTGTACCTGATTTGTGGGTACAATCAGAGGGTTTTAAATTTCTTGCTCCTCCATCCACCACTTTACCTAAGGAGTAAATTCACTAAATCAAAATGGTGGTGATGGAAAACAGTAAGTCTACGCTGTAACTCTTTACTATTTTCTTAAGCATTTTTTAAAAAAAGTTGCAGACAGAGTTAGCCTGATATTTTCCATTCCCCTATCTGTTTTGTTCCACTCTGTGGCGTTTTAAAGTTGCTTTCCAGATACTTTTAAAATTAAGTGGCAAGGGGGACAAAAATTGTGGGAAAACAGTATTGTTCCGTTTATCTTCCTTCCAAAAGGAAAAATAATGCCTTCCTTTCCCTGCCTGTCCACGCTGAACAACTCTCAAATCAACATGGTTAAGAGCCATGTTAACAAGCTGTACTTAATGCGCAGGAAAATATCTAGGGCCTTCTGAGCCACACATGCCAGAATAGGCTGTTGCTAGTGGCTCTCAGGCAGGCCAGCCTGTTCAGATGAGAGACTGATGTATCTTGCTGAGAAAGCTGATAACAAAACCCAACCTCTAGCTCTACATTAGGATGTGTCAAGCAGTCCAGCTGCTATCTCTGCTCTGTTAGTACTGATACTCATGATAGGCTCTGCAGCTAGGAAATGAGCATTGTTATTCTTATTTATTTATATTATTGTAGTGCTTAGGAGCCCCAGTCAGATCAGAACTCTGGTATGTTAGGCACTGTACAAACAGAACAGCAAGTCCCTGCCCCAAAGAGCATCCCCAGGCCAGGGTGCCACAGCTTTTAAGGAAGGATATCTCCTGTTCTCCCCACATGCACTCACTGAATGAGGAATAGGCTCCTATTCGGAGAGATACAGAAAGCCCATGCAGCTTCCGTGGGCCAGCATGCTGTGATACCTATTGGCTTCCAGATCAAGGTTCAAAGAATATGGAATCCTGCTATAGTAACTGTTGGTTTATTTCAAAAAAAATCTGTCTAATAACTTCATTTTAAAAAATTCAAATGCATTGACAATCGCTGATTATAAAGAAACAAATTCATTCAGCATAGGAATTGCCATGTAGCACCAAACCCATGGTCCATCCAGTACAGCATCTCATGTTTGACAGAGGTCAGAACCAGCTGTTTCAGATGAAGGTGTAAGTAGTACCCCACAGTGAGCAGTTGTATCCCACATGCAAGCTTCATCCTAACCCCTAGTAGTGAGAGATTGATTAAGCCCTGAATTCTGAGGTTTAATGTCCCTTCTAAAGTTGTCTTGGCATTAATTACTATAGCTCTGGATATTCTTGTTCTCCCTCATAAATGTCCATTCCCTCTTTGAGTTGTGCTGACTTCAGTATTAAAAAAACAACTCGTAAGCAAAAGATAACTGGCATTAGCACAATAGATAAGGTAATGTACCAAAGTATGGATTGTTTAGTATGGTTTTGCTCCTTGTTGGATTATTTAACTGGGCACCTGAACTTTCAGTGAGAAGAAGAGAAACATGGTGACTAAAACAATGTTTAATAAGTCCTGTGGAAACCCATCAGTTGCTTGGGACCAGCTTGTCAAACGTATTTAGGTGCATACAGATGCACTTAGCTACCTAGCAGGATTTTTAAAAGTACCGAAGAAGGTTAGGTGCCTAATGCCCATTGAAATAATTGAAAATCTGGTCCCTGGTGCTTATATGTAACCCAATGGATTAAAAAAAGGTAAAAATATAAATATTAGAATTGACAGCTACTGTATCTCACCCATAAACATTAAAGATGGGAAGGGATACTACAGAAAGAGGAGAATCAGGTTGTCAGGTGCTTGAATGAGACATTTGCTCTTGCTCTGTTACCCTCAGAAGAGCAAAGGGAGAAAACTATCATTGGTACAGACATAGCTTCTCCTGTTCTTTCCCGCTTTGATTTGTCCCTTGGCTTGTGCTCTGAGAAATTCTGTGTCTCATTCTCCTTAAAGTGCTGATATCTATCTTAACATTCTGAGAATTCAGACTTTGTTCTGATACCTTTCAGCATTCTTCTCAATGCATTCCTTCAGGCTAGTGCTCAACCCCGTTATATGTGTAACTCTTAAAACACGCACGCGCGCGCACACACACGTGCACGAAGGAGATAGCAAAAGTTAATTAGTATCTTTTCCATCACTCATTATCCAAATTCCTGGAATTCTAGTCCTTTGTACAGGCTGCTCCCTTCATGTTATATGCATTTGCTAAATTTTAATGAGAATTTGTTTCCATTTACAGATATAAAGTGATGTATATACAGATATTCTGAGCATTGTTGAATGTGTATGATATATTTTGCTATACATTCAGCTCTGCTTTTAGACCAAGATTACCCTTAACATCTGCAACTGTAAAGGACTTTCGAGGTGCCTTGAATAATAGAATTTGAAATACTAGTTCTGGAGTTTAATTATGGAATAATGGTCCAACAATCACCAATCTGAATTGATGTGCATGGGTTCTATCATTCAGATTTTTATTTATACATCCTACTTCCAAAAGTTAGCTCTGAGCATGTAAACCTTTATTGCCTGTGTGATTCTTCACTCATGTGAGCAGTTGCATTGACTTAAATGGGTCAAAAAGGTAAAATATTATTCATTTATTTATTTATATTTTGGTAGTACCCAGATGCCCCAGTCATGGACCAGAATCCCATTGTGTAAATGGTTCCAGATGTGCAATTACTTACGGAACTTTTTGTTTTGCACTTTTGTGCATTTGAAATATTGCGCTTAGGTTTTGATATAGTACCTGTCACTGTGGTCCCTAAGGGCTTGTCTACACTTACTGGGGGATCGATGAATGGTGATAGATTTTAGCAGGTCTAGTGAAAACCCACTAAAATTGACCACAGATTGCTCTCCCATCCACTCCTGTACTCCACCGGATAGAGAAGAGTAGGGGGAGTCGATGGGAGAGTGTCTCCCATCAACATCGCGTAGTGTGGACCCCGTGGTAAGTAGATCTAAGCTACGTTGATTTGAGTTATGCGTTCAGGTAACCCAAATTGCATAGCTTAGATCAAATTTCCCCTGTAGTGTAGACAAGGCCTAAGATAGACAGATATAGAGATAATTAGAAAGAAAGAAACCGCTTTATCCTGATTTATTGGTGACATATAGGTTCTAAGTGACGATAGATTTAGAGCTGGATGGGAAATGAAATTTCACAGGATGGGACGACAAAGATTTTGAAAATTTTTCCCTTGGGACAAAATGCACATTTTCATGAAATGCCCTCTCCGCACACCCCCACCCCCCAAATCAGTTTGGGTCAATCAAAACATTTCATTTCAATAATTTTTAAACATTTAATTTTCATTTTGACCATTTTTAAAAAAAAATTCTCTGTATTTAGCTTAAATTTCTAAACAAACCATTGTTTTGAACTGGAAAACTGGAATTTTATATTTCTAGTTTTGACAATTCCAAAACTTTTCCTTAGTTGAGAAATTCTTCAAAAATAATGCTTTCCCATGAAAAATTACATCAGGATGTTCTGATGAACAATATTTTTTCATTGGAAAATGCTCATTTGTCAAAACTTGAACTGTTTGTGGGATATATATCTGTACATATATATAAAATATGAAGGTTTCTACAAATTTGTTGTTTTGAAACAAATTTGGGAAAAGTTTTGAAATTGTCAAAACAGGATGTTTTGACCTTTTTAATTCAATTTTTTGGTTCAACACATTTCCTTTCAAAATGTAAGGTTATTATAAATTAAAAAATCAATTAAAAAGTTCAATTCAAAACAAAACATTTTGAAATTATGGAAACAAAAGGGTTGGATTGACCTGAACTGAATGCTTTGTCAGATTGTCAGTTTGTGAAAATTTTCAAGATTTTCACTTTTTGTCCCAGTTCAGAATGGTTTTTTTTTTTTTCAAAATCTTGAAAATTTGCCTGAAACAGGAACACCATTTCCCATCCAGCTCTATTCAGAAGGCACGCACTTAGAGGAGCACAAGCAACATGGAGGACAATGCACTATGGAATATCCTTTCAGACAGGGAGCTGGGAGGACAGAGAAATGACTAGACTGATTATGCAGGCATGGTTAGGGGGGCTTGTCCATAGAGCAACCAGGGTGGTGAAGGTGATTGTTTACCACTCCAGTTCAGGGCAAGAGTAAACTATCAACTGCCATGGTTACTCACCAAGTTTTAACCATGTTTAGAGACATAAATGACACCAACAGGTTTGAAACCTGGTATAATTGTACTTAATCTTTTACTGTGAAAGGCTTGTCAAAGCAGGAAAGGATTCCACATGCCTAAGTGGAGTTTACACAAATGCAACAGGGCTTCCTGCAACCAAAGTCAAGCAATGATCAAAAGCATTAGCTAAAGTATGGCTCACTTAAGCCTGGTTCTGTAGAGGGAGGGGTGAGGCCATGCCTCTGCTTTTGCTCCCGATAATTTCCTTTCAGCTCTATCCCTTTTCTCTGGGTATGTCTTATACAGCAAAGAAAAACATGCAGCTGGCCCGTGCCAGCCATCTCGGGTTTGTGTGGCGCAGACTGTGGGGTTGTTTCATTGCTGTGCAGACTTCCGGGCTTGGAATAGAGTCCGAGCTCTGGGATCTTCCAACCCTGCAAGGCCCTAAAGCCCAGGCTCCAGCCCAAGCCCAGAAGACTACACAGCAATAAAACAGCAGAGTCGGCACTAGGCGTAAGCAGACTAAACAATAGCTCAAAGGGGCCCTCAATTTGCTTTTTTATTATGTGTTGTGTAGAAGGGGCCCCCAAATATTCCCATTTAGAGCCCGCAATGGAGTAGCACTGTGAAACAGCCCTGCAGTCCAAGCCCCGTGAGCCCAAGTCAGCTGGCACGGGCCAGCCACGGGTACTCTTAGAGATCATTCCTCCTTTACTCTTGCTTCCAGACTCAGCCCATAATTTCCTGCACCACATACCTCTCCTAGGGTGCTGCAGGGAGCTAATAACTAATTATCCACCTCTGACTTAGCCCTTCTACCCTGAAGATTCCAGCACTGAGGGTGGATCATTAACTGAATCCACAAAAATCAGCTCCCTTTCTTGCGTTCTTTAAGAATGCAGTACCTATACCACCAATCTTGTCCTCTTCAAAATGTTACTGACATTTTTCACTGCATTGCCACTGTGATGTGGATGAATGCTATTCCTGGGAGGCTGTGTGTTAAAGCTAGCAGGGAGTGAACAATCGGCAATGGGCATAAGTAAATTTCATTCTGTCTTTCATTGTTAGTCATACTTATCTCTCTCCCTGCTTATCCAGACATTAATGAATCCAGATTTGCCAAAGCCTTTTCCTGGGGTGTAATAGGCTCAAAGTGCCATGCAGGAAGGAAGCAATCAGAACTAACGTGTAACAGCAGTTACCGTTTTCAAAGCCTTTATAAACCATCAGTTATTAATCCTCACAACATACTAATAAGGTAGATACATTAATATTACTTTCCCCATTTTAAAGTTGGGAAAACTGAGCCAGAGAAGTTAAGTACCGGGGCTTTAGTAAAGGTGTGACATACAAGTGCTGAAAAGAGGCTGCTCTTCAATTTCTAGTCCCTATTACATGTTCTTCATCTGGATTACAGAAAGTTGTTTCCTACTGTGCAGCATCCCCCCTGCCATGCGGGATTTGGGAAAGAAACTGCGGGGAGGCGCGAGCCAGAGACTGAAGCCCACACAGCATCAGCAGAATCAGCCTAAGCAGGGGCTGCTGAAGACTTTTAACTGGACTTTTTCTGCCCTCTGTTGATTGGCTGTTTGCTTCAACCTTCTCCTGCCCCCGTCCTCACAGTATCTTCACCTGAGCCTCACTCCACCCTGCTCTCATATCTTCAACCCCTCCCTCTTCTCAACTGCTTGTGTCCCCTTTCCTCCCTCTCTCTTCCCTTCTCTTTCGCTTTAATCTCTTCTTAATTAACCCCCCCAAAAACCCCTTCCAAACTCCTCCCCCCAAATACCCCCAAACATGGAACTAACGTGATATTTGCTGCCATCACATCAGTGGCTCTGCTTGTGTGTTATAACTCTTTCCCCTACCCTCTGTCTCTTTTCTGTTTATGAAATTGTTAGCTCTTTGGAGCAGGGATTATCTGTTATTCTCTGTGAACAATGCCTATCACAAAGGGGCCCTGATCTGGGTTGGTCCCTAGGCGCTGTAGTAATAAACATGGTGATTATGATTAGAAAGGGACTACTCTAATAGCTCCCATTACAAAAACTGTACAGTGAATCAGTGGCAGAGCTCGGACTAGAATTCACATGTTCTTGATCCCCGGCCTCTTGCTTAGTCCATGTGACAACACTGCTTCTTTACACCTCCAGATCAGAGTATTGGGGGAGCTTGAGATCTTGTTGGAGAAAAAAATCTGATGATGGAAGGTTTTAAGGAAGAAGCACAGAATTCAACTTACTGTTGAACTGGTGAGCACAGTATAGTTTTTCTTGCTACAAAGAATCCTTAGTTGGTTGACATGTTTTATTTTTTATTTTTTCAGTATTCAATCAAGGAGAATTCAATTTGTATACGATTTCTCTACTGGGCTGAATGTGATGGAAATGTTTTGCTTGCACACACAGTGCTGAAAGTTGTTGAATACATATTAAAAGCAGAGTCCTAATAGTGAGTTTTTATATACTGTGTTGATTCTCTTTAGAATTCGGACGATGCAAATTCTATAGCACTGCTTGGCATTGCAAGTGCTGGAGCTCCAGCAGCAGCAGTGGAATGCAATGTTTCTGGTTTTGGGCTCCACACCCTGATGGAGGAAGAAGGATTCTGCAGCTCTGCTCCCTATCTGGAAAGGAAACAACTTAGCTCTTGGGAAGGAAATAAACAGCAGCTGGGGAGGAGTGTGTCTGATTGTACGCATGTGGCAGCTAATACTGCCATTTCCACATCGATTAACATGGAAGAGGAGGTCTCTTTGCAAGGACAAATGGCCATGGGTAAGTCCTTCACTGTTATATCGTCTGGTCATTTTTGCTCTTCACTTGTTTGTGCTGCACAAAGCTGAGAACTGTCGGGTGTGTTTTCAGTTGTGCACTTTTTTCCCTCCTAAAGAACTTCTACAACTGTTAAACTGAGCAATACAAACAACTATATCTTTCCTTTCCAAAGGGGCTAAATGACCATATTAATGGTTCCTTTTCAGGTTTTTTTCCAGAATATCTTAAATCAGAGGTAAAATAAGGTTTAGGATTACATTGTATCAATATTCCAGGGCCAAGGGAATAGTAGAATATAAGTACTTTGCGAAAGACTCGCTTTTTGCAAAGATCCATCAGACTTCACAAACAGGGTTGATTGGTTTGGACTCCTATGAACACCTCGTTGCTTTAGGGTTGGTGTTGGAGATTCAGTAAGTGACATTCTTCTCTCTGACTCAGAATTGAACTAATATCCAACTATAGTCTTAGAAGGCACTGCGCATCTAGGGCCTCTGTCTTTAGAATTACTGATCATTTGTGTTCATTAAATATTCCATGGACCCCACATTTCTTAGGAGGAGGGTTGTTAATCCAAATGTTCTGAACCAAATACCAACTCCGATAATTATATTCTCCTTACTGAAATTCCCCTAGCAGTTTTAGCTGATTGAGTAAACTTTTTCAAATCCTCCCCTAAATTTATGAGTACCGTTTCTGTAGACTATTTCTCCCAATCATCAAGAACTGCTAGTTTTTACAAATTGTATCTCAAATGGCTTAGGGAGAAATTGTATCCTCTGATGCGCAAATGCAACTCCAATTGCAGTCCAGGAGCCAGGTGCAATCTCCAAGGGCAGAATTCAATCTCCAGTTTAGCTAGATAACTAAGCATGTGACTATCTTTAAACATACAAAGAGCGCCATTGACTTCAGTGGGACTACTCACATGCTTAAAGTTAGGTATGCCTTAGCCTTACCGTTAGGTCCCTGGGCTTGTTTAAGATATCACTTAGATTGGTTTGATATGGGTGTAACTCCAGTAAATCTGAGTGGATTTACTCCTAGGCTACTCTAGTGAAAATGAGATCAGAATCAGAACTTGTATCTATATTTAATTCACACAAATGATTGCTCATGGTCCCTCGTACTTGCATAAGGTTACAGAAAAACTTGTTGGTTTTTTCCCCCCTGAAACTGATATATGTGAAAATGGTTATTATCCATTGAAGCACTTAGTGAGTCATAAATAAACTTTTGAAAAAGTTAGTCCCTGGTGCTGTATCAATAGCAATAGTGACAAGTCCACATATCAAAAACATTTCCTAATTAAGCGGCACTCTAGACTTCTATTCATGCTCAAAGCAGTAGCATGTCATTGTAGTTCTAAAAAGTAGCTTGTTTTGGGCTTGTGACTAAGCACAGAATCAGAGCTGACAGTCTGGATGCGAAATGATTATACTTATGATAATAATACTCATTAAATCCAGTTAGGCCTCTTCCGCAGCTGCCATATTGCCAGATTTAACTCAAACTGAAAGGTATGTTAAATGTTTTGCATCTATTTTCTCTTCCCTCTTCCATCCAGGTCAGCAATATAGAGAGAAGGATGAAGCCTTTTAGTCCTTTTACATGGAGTCTTTGTTATTCAAAGACTGATAGAGATTAGATTGGAGGTTTTTTTAAAACTGTACATTTGAATTAGTTGACTAGATAAGAAGTAGATATTGAGGGGACAAACTTACTGAGTATTTGCTCAATGTCAAACCATCCCATAAGGATGCAGCCATAGGACCCCACACAAACACCGGCTGGTATGCCTGGAAGAAAGGAGATAAATGTAAATATATTGTTATCCCATCCCTCTGAAACTCATGGAAACCATCTCAATGGACTGAGAGAGGCCAGAAAAGATCTACTCATGGGTATCACTTATATAATCTATAATACTTACAATGGTGACAAGTATCTTATATCGTCCCCTTCTCATCCTAATGAGGTTTCCTTGTGCTAGATCAGTGGTTTTCAGCCAGAGGCCTAAGGCCCTCTGGGGGGCCACAAGCAGGTTTCAGGGGGTTCGCCAAAATAAACCAGAGGGCAGAGCCAGCATTAGATTATCTGGTGCTCAGGGCAGAAAGCCGAAGCCTGAGTTGCACAGGGCTGAAGCCAAAGCCCGAGCAATGTAGCGTGGGGCCATAGGCAGTGCCCTGCTTGTTACCCCCTAATGCTGGCCCTGACTTTTAATCTATCGGATATGCAGAAAAACAGTTGTTTGGGGCACAGGTGGGCTGTGGAGGTTTTTATAGCGTGTTGGGGGGGCCTCAGAAAGAAAAAGGTTGAGAACCCCTGTGCTAGATAATACTCATGTGGTCAGTGTTACCTTGTGCAGAGTCACAATTCATAAATGAGCCCCTGGGGTGTGCTGGACTGCTGCAGGGGGTTCCCATGGCTACCTAGTTCCCGAGAATCCTGCTGCAGTGGGAGCTGTGGAGGCTTGTGAGGCAGACGTTCTCCTTTTCTCACCTCCACCCAACCTGCCGGGTACGTGAGTTTGTCTAGCTCCAGAGCGTGAGTTAAAACCGGTGGTTGGCACTGAGCGAGTGCTACACTGCTGCTGCCTCTGCAATGGGTCTGGGACCGCACCCCAGCCTACTCTGCAAGGAGGCAAACATTACTGGCTCCCCTCAACATGAGGTGTATTCACGCAATGCCGTGGGACTGGGTTGAAAACACTGAGTGGAAATAGAATCACAGAATATGCCGGTTTACACTGCTGAAGTCCTGCGGGGGAGAAGGAAGGGCTGGAACTCGCAGAGGCATGCATACCGGGAGGCAGGGGCGCCGTCTCTTCACACTGCAGCCTCCACAGTATTGCCAATTGAACAAGTTTGTCACTAGATCTGGTGATTATTATTTTTTTTTTTTTAGGTCTGCTACAGATTTTTTCAAGCTTCGCTGTGACAAGTCACCGAACTAAACTTTTAATGGCATCTGGTGACATTCTGGTGACTTTTGCTAGATCTAGTGATAGAATCACTTAATAGGTGACACTGGACAGAAGACAGACCTGAGGAGCTGAGATCCATGGGGGGCAGGAATGGGGGTGACTGGGGTAGCACTGAGTATGTCAAGGGGCCTGGGGTTAAGTGGAGGGAGAGCAGGGGAGATATTGGGGGCTAGAGGCAGGACAGGGATGATATTGGGGCTGAGAGCAGAAGGCAGGAAAGGGGAGATATTGGGGCTCAGGGCATGGCGATATTGCGACTGAAGGCAGAAGGATATTGTTGATCAGGGGAGAGTAGGTGGCTCTGTGACTGGTAAGGAGAGGATTAAAAGAATCATGGTCAGCCAGAGAAGGGGGAGTGGAAGGGGCTTGGGCAGGGGCATGTGGGGCAGCTGGAGAGTCCCCGCTCCATTGCTGGGAAGACCACGCTGGGCAATTCCTGTCCACCGGCCCTGGAGAGCTCAGTTGCAGGTTGCTCCTCTGGGTTGGGCTCTGTAGTACAACCCTTGCCATTTAGAGTTTCCTGTCCCTGGAGATGTAGATCCCAGCGTGGTGGGCTCAGCTCGGGTGGAAGGTGCCTGATGTGAGTGGAAGGAAAGATGGCAATTGAGCTGGGTTTGGACTCTGGAGGGAGGGGTTCCCCATCCCTCATGGGGAACCACTAAAACTGGCTCCTCGCTCTGAAAAGAGAGATGGCAGAGGGTTACTGAGCCTCCATCTCTTCTTCCAGAGCAGGCCCAGAAGTGAAAGAGGCAGCGTGAGGAGATTTTTCCAGTGCCTTACAGCATGGCCACTCAGTTTACTGAGCTGCCATCTCTCCTTCTGGAGCGAGGTGACTTAAAAAACCCTTAAATTCCCTTAAGAAGTCTTTGGGACTTTCTTTGTGCATAAACAACCTTTTTCCTTTACTGTTCACTGCAAAGGATCAGAACTTTAAAAATATGTTTATGCTGTTTTTACTCAGTCTGATTATGAAAATGCCTCTTACTAGCCATTTTATTTGTTATAGACTTTTCTCAGAATAACTGCCTGAAGGCCAGTTCAAGGATACCACCCAGTCCAGCAGAAAGTTTTCCAACAGGTAGGAAGGACCTTTTTCTCTGTTACACATCATTTGAGTATTTGCTTTTTTCCACTAACCTTTGCTCTTCAGCTGAGCTACTAGATAAGTGATATTTCCAGGGTTGCCAACTCTTGCAATTTTATCACAAGTCTCACAATGTTTAATGTTTTTTTTTTAAAACCTTAGCTCCTGGAGGCATGTGATATGTTGAGAATCTCAGCTTTTATTTAAAAAAACAAAATTCAAAGTCTTCATGGATAAAAGCCTGAAAATGTTTACAGATTGTACCTTCAATGGTCTCAAGCCAGAAGGCACCATAAGAAGAACTTAATATTTATGGTATATCATGATTTTCAAGTCAATCTCGTGATCTTTAAGGCCCTCTCTATGTTTTGTGAACCCTTAGGTTTGGCCGTGCTGTATCTGTTAGCAAAGATGTAGGGATACTTTCCGGGTACGGAGGTGCAGCAGGGTTGCAGTCCTAGTATTTATGGGAGTTGAGCCCTAGTACTTATGGTTGTTGAGCAGCTCATGTTCTGCTCAATGACTTGAAAATGTCATGTTTCTGTTCTGTTTGTTTAGATTTCCCCCCCCTCACCTGTGGGGAAAATAAATAGTCCATTGGATAAAACTTTCAGAGGCAACCACTGTAGTTCATGCTGATTTTTCCTTGTTTTCAAGCAAATAGAGTAACTACATATATGCATAGGTAAATGACTTGCACGATACCTCAAGATGGTTTGGTGTCCTAAAGGCAGTGCTGTGCTCTGATGAGTTAGACATTTGGTCCAGAACTTGAACCAACTTGAACATACTGTAAGCAAATGCAACTCCGTGAATTCCAATTGGTCCCAATTGATTAGAGTCTGATCCAAAGCCCATTGAAGTTAATGGAGAGATTCACATATGCTGAGCACTCTAGCTTGATCCAGCAAAATACATAAGTAATTAATTTTAAGGGAATAACCTTAATGAATAACAACTGCTTAAGTCTTTCACTGAATCAGACTGGAGTGCTCAGCGCCTTGCAGAATTGAGCCCTTACTTCTTAAAGATCTGACTCAGAGCCTAGTAACATAAATAGGTAGACTCCAATTGATATTAATGAGTCCTGAAGTGTGTTCTAAATTTGCCAAGGGGGCAGCATGCTCAACCTCTACAGAGAGAAGTGTTTCACATCAGTCAATATTAACTCTTTAGCTGATTAAGGGGGTGATTTATCAGGATTATTGGTTAATTTCTTGGAATAATTTGAAGAAAAAACATAAAAAATCTAGTATTTAAGTACAGAAATTGCTTATTTATTAGGGTCGTGTATGTGTATTTGGTTGAAAATTTGATAATGGTTTTTAGGATTTATTGTGGTTGAAGTACTGTTTAATAGCTGCAAAGGAAGTGAATGAGTCAGTGGTACAAATTAATACTTATCTCAGCAATAGTATTCAGAGCATTTACAGTTTATCATGTTCGTGACTGACTCTAAGTTTACTGATGCGCAGCTAAATAACAATTTCCTTAATAATGCTTTGCCCTTCCATAACACCCTTCAACCCAGCCTTAAAGAGATTTTACAAGTTGTTACATTAGCTTTAATATTAACTGAGCCTGTCAGACTGTTAATGGTCCTCGGAGAAGTGGCTCCTAACAGTGCATAACAGTTTAGGACAATGTGTGAAGACACAGTTTTGGGGAAGGTATTACAATCACTTAGGTAAGGCTTAGCGAGAACACATTTTTCAATAGGTTGCTCTCTTCCCTCTGCACTAGGAATGAAACAGTTCCTCAGCCTGTTGTTAGAGGGCATTGTGTTTTATTGGTGCCCTACTTCTAAAGACATGTAAAATCAAGGTCTTGCTCATTTTGGCCTCAAAGATTCTATGAGTGGGAATAATAAGTAGGACTGGGTTTTTTGGGGTTTTTTTTACTTTATATGGATAATTTTGAGATTTTGTTGAAAACTTTTCATCTGAAAACGTCTGTGTTTCAGCCAAAAATTTTTGGTTGTGGATTTTTCAACAAAAAGTCAAAGTCTTCCATGGGGGTGGAGTGGGGGGTCGGAGGAAACATGACCAGTTCTCGTAATAATTTGTATCCTGGCTCAATTCTAACTCAGGCAGGGTAACTACCTACATTCTATTTACCCTAATTTCCTTCTCCCACCCACAGCTTCTGCTGGAAAAAGTTATTTTTCATTTCTTTCAAACTTTTTTGTGATGTTGCCAGCTGCTATTAAATAGCAGCCACATCTCACCACAGATGTCAGCATGTGAGTGGTAGGTGAAGTGATCCCCGTGTATTGTTTCTATAGCATATTGGTTTGTAAAGTGCTTTGGGGCCCATTCAAGTGAAAGTTCATTGTCATTCCTATTAAAATTGCTGCTCCGAGCAATGGGAATAGGTTAAAGTGCACAATATTATTCATTGTATTCCGGTGAGTTTCACTATTTTTTTACAACCTTGTATTTTTGTAGATTCAGAATTAGCAAATGCCCATGGATGTCATGCTAGTGGCGGTATTCTATTCTATATTTCTCTTGATCAGCAGAGTAGCCTTTTCTTGATAAATGAAATGCGGCAGAACTGGCTCTCCCATTCCAAAGAACTTGTGTGACTATAAACCAATATTCTTCTCAGATATCTCCCTGAAGCTAATCATGGTAAAACGAAAGAGTGGACTTCCTGACCCCCGACTGCAGGGAGAACTGAGAGGACGACTCCGTCTTCTGGAGAATGACAGCAGGGAGGTCATGGCAGTTTTTAGTGTAAGTCAGCTCTGGTATATTTACAGAACAGTTTGGGGTGTTATCAATAACAGAGTCTACCAAAACATTTCAGCATCATCGAACTAACCTCTGAAACGTGCAAGGGTCTGTTCTCCCATTTGTATATGTGTGTGTATAAATTGAAGGTGGTCAAATGCAGTCCACAGACACTGTCATTTTTGACTTGGAGGTGACCAAAATTGCTCAGATCAAAATGGGATCTCTACATGTCTCTGGGCCATACTTGCTTACAGGAGATGACATTGGCTTCAATCTGCTCCATTTAATGTAAATTAAAGGACTGATTTTCCTTCACCTCATCTGGCACAGGGGAGCAAAAATGCGTGCTCCTGAGTTTGGAAATGTGAAGGGGGGAGCAACATGTGTCTCCTCCCCCCCTTCAAGGGCCCACAGGCTCTCACAAGAGGACCCTCTATATTGGCTTATGCAGGACCAATGAGGAAACTATTCCTATTACACATATGGTTTGCATAGGCAACCTGGCCTGATACCTGTACAGGGCTTAAGTGATGTGTAGGGCTTTGCGCCGACACTAGGAACCCAGATGAATTTTGCCCATTCGTTATATGGCATGAAGCTGTTATGTATTTAGGAACAGAAGGTATAATAATGGAGACAGTGGCACTCTGGGATAAGTTGGTCTTATTTATATCAGAAATTTACTTCCAGTGCTCAAAGGATCAGACAGATCACACTATTACAACATCTGTTTGATGAAGTAAAATGAGAGAGAAAACATGCAGGTTTACCAAATATTCAGATACATACAAATCCAAAATATAGTAAAATGAATGAATATTAATATTGACAATAATGGCCAAACTTTCAAAAGGGCTCAGCTCCTGTTTAGGCACTCAGAGTGGCCAGGTATTAAAAAGAAGTCAGGACTCAGTAACTCCATTTAAGAAAAATGGGCTGTGTTGCACGGTAAGCACTTCTAAAAGTCTGGCTACTTCACTTCATTAATGGACCGGATTAGAGTAATGCACTGGAGACAGCGCCACAATAATAGAAAATACCAGTTAAACCAAGTTCGGAGTTTAACATCCCAATGAAAAGCAAATGGAATTCAAGATATAGAAATGGAAAATTGGTACAGCTCTTGAGTTTCCTCATACACACTTTTAATGCACATAATGGAGGTATAAAAGGATATGCCTAGAACACATCCTACCAGTGAAACTGTCCAACAAAAGTGGGAGAAAAAGAGAAAGAGAGAGAGAGAAAAAAAATTCTAACTATTGTGAGAGGTGCCAGACCAACTCATTTAATAAGATAACGTGTGTAAGTCCCAAATTGCAGGTACTGTACAATTTATACAAATGTAAAAGGGACCTGAAATGCTATCCATATCACAAAACTGTGTGTACTGAAAATATTCAATTAAGAATGTTTGGAAGTAAGATCCTTTGTATCTTTGTCTCTGACCTGGATGCAGAAAACAACTCTATAGGCATGAAGTAGTAGTTTCTTGACTTAATGAAAGCAGAATCTGTCTACAGAAAAAGAAGAAACATGAAAAGGGACAAACTATAGATGATCACAGAATTGATACACACAATCATGTGGACGCCTTTGTATCTTCTGACTCTCAGTGAAAATCAAGACTAGTCTTGTTATGCACTCCTTCCTTTCTTAGCTCAAATACCAACTGATAGAACAAATGAACCCAACTGGAGGAAGTGAAATAAGCCACAGTATTTGGGACATTGAAATGGACAAGAATAGGATCAATTATTTATTAGTGTGATTGTTACTATACGTTACATAAAGTGTATAGCAGATGTCTGTAAAGAAAGGAATAAGACATTATGTTCTAGATTTAGAAAAAAACCAAACAATAAAATTATTACCATAGCAATGGAACTAGAAATACTGGAGAACAAAGCAGAAGGCATTTTAAATAAAACTGCTGAATGCATTGCATGTAAAGCGTAACTAGCTAGTTTTAGCTGTTTGTGTTTTTGTAAAAAAGTGGAAGGAAAAAAAATCACATTTTTCCAAGCAGTTTGGAAGAAGTAAGTAAAGAAGTAAAGTAAAGAAGAGAGGCATAAATATGGGATTTATCAGGGTTGACTATTTGTAGTTTTAAATTACATATCAGTGGCATGGGTTCATTTTTTTTTTTTTTATTCTCCCGTAATACGGGTTTGCATTACGGATGAGCTCCTCACCAGTGATAAGCTGCCAAAATCTTAACAGCGGTCCCTCCTCACCCCCCAAGGGGGTTGTTGCCCACTCCCGCCCCCCGGGACTTCTGCCCCATCCAACCCCCTGCATTCCTTCACATCCCCCCCCCCTCAGGACCCTTGCCCCATCCACTCCCCACCCCTGTCCCCTGACTGCCCCCAGAACCGGGCAGGACGGTCTCATGGGCCACCGTAGTGGGTGCCCACCCCTCCCCTAAGAGCCAGAGGGGCCTGCTGGGGGGCAAGGTGGGGAGTCCCGGCGGTGCTTACCTGGTGCGGCTCCCAGGAAGCATCTGGCAGGTCCCCCTGCCTCCTAGGGGCGGGGGAGCATAGCTAGGGGGGGAGCAGGCGGAGCGGCTGCTTCCCCCGCTGATCACATCCAAAGTGGCGCCTTAGGCACCGACTCTGTGGGTGCTCCGGGGCTGGAGCACCCATGGGGAAAATTTGGTGGGTGCAGAGCACCCACCAGCAGCTCCCCAGCCCCAGCTCACTGCCGCTCCGCCTCGCCCCTGAATGCGCCGCCCAGCTCTGCTTCTCTGCCCCCCCCCCCGGCTTCCGGCAAATCAGCTGTTCGGTGGGAAGCCTGGGATGGCTGAGAAGCAGGCGGTGGCTTTGTGCTCAGGCCCAGGGAGGCGGAGGTGAACTGGGGCGGGGAGCGGTTCCCTGGCGCACCCCTGCCCCCCGTGTTACTGGCTGTGGCGCAGGAGGCTCTCCTCGCGCCCCCCGCCCCCCCGGCCCAGCTCACCTCCGCTCCGCCTCCCTGGGCCTGAGCGCAAAGCCGCTGCCTGCTTCTCAGCCCTCCTCGGCTTCCCGTGCAAACAGCTGATTTGTGGGAAGCCTGGGGTGGGGGGTGGAGAAGCAGAGCGGGGAGGTGCATTCAGGGGAGGAGGTGGAGGCGAAGCAGAGGTGAGCTGGGGCCAGAGGCGGGGCAGGGAGCTGCCGGTGGGTGCACCAAATTTTCCCCTTGGGTGCTCCAGCCCTGGAGCACCTATGGAGTCGGCCCCTAAGACGCCACATTTGGCCGGTTGTTAAATTTAGAAGCCCTTTTAGAACCGGTTGTCCCTCGTGGAACAACCGGTTCTAAAAGGGCTTCTAAATTTAACAACTGGTTCCAACGAACCGGTGCGAACCGGCTCCAGCTCACCATACTCCTCACCAAACCTGGATAGGATTGCCCCCAAGTATTGGGATGCTATAGATTTGGGTCCAAACATTTTTACTCAATAGCATCAGTTTCAAAAATGATTTGAATCATCATCATTTCATGTTGGTGGAATGATAACTATTTGATCTTCTGTGGTTGTCTTCTGCATGGTTCATGTTTGCATTATCCATTTTAATATGGATTCCCCATCTCTCTCACTAACAAGTCAAACACTGAAATCTTCATTACTTAGCATTGAGTTAATAGTATCCATTTCTACATGTTGTTGTCTCTTTCGTGTGCAAGATCTCTTATTACCCGTCTGCTATTGTTATTTCTACCGACTTTATAACCTGTTTTCTTGCTAGTCTGTTTTGATGAATGTTTCTTGGGGGCGGGGAAACGACTGTGCACAAATGACTGGATTTTAAGGCACTGCTAGTGTTTAAGAACAGATTTAGGAAAAGGACGGTCAGAAAAGCAAGATTTATAATGCCAAATTTACTTATAAAATGGTGAATTTGTTTTGATATTGAGTAATGCAGGATGCCTAGAGGTTGTGATATTTCAGCCTTTGGAGGCAATTTATTAATAGATTTTGGTCTCAGAAGACTGTAATTCTGTTCTTGTATTAATATTTAATCAGGTGTAGAGACTGGAATACATAGATCTATGTGCAGATGAAGGGGACCATCTGGGAATATGACGCTTCAGTTTTTTAAAGAGACAGCAGCACTTTTTTGTAATCCATTTATGTTATGTAAATGAAAAATAACATAAATTGTGTGTAAATTGATGGAATATTTCCCAAGATATTGAAATGAGTAAAATACTACTAATAATACCTAGTTCTCATATTTCAGAGTAGCAGCCGTGTTAGTCTGTATTCGCAAAAAGAAAAGGAGGACTTGTGGCACCTTAGAGATTAACAAATTTATTTGAGCATAAGCTTCCGTGAGCTACAGCTCACTTCATGGGATGCATGCAGTGGAAAATACAGTGGGGAGATTTACATACATAGAGAACATGAAACAATGGGTGTTACCATACACACTGTAATGACAGTGATCACTTAAGGTGAGCTGTTACCAGCAGGAGAGTGGCGGGGGGGAATTGCAACTTTTAGGTCTGTAATCGAGTGACCAAAGAGATTACAGACCTAAAAGTTGCAGTTCTTCAACAACAACAAAAACTTCAAAAACAGACTCCAACGAGAGACTGCTGAATTGGAATTAATTTGCAAACTGGATACAATTAATTTAGGTTTGAATAAAGACTGGGAGCGGATGGGTCATTACACAAAGTAAAACTATTTCCCCTTGTCTATTCCCACCCCCCTCCCACACCCCACTGTTCCTCAGACATTCTTGTCAACTGCTGGAAATGGCCCACCTTGATTATCACTATAAAAGATTCCCCCCCCACTCTCCTGCTGGTAATAGCTCACCTTAAGTGATCGCTCTCATTACAGTGTGTATGGTAACACCCATTGTTTCATGTTCTCTATGTATATAAATTTCCCCACTGTATTTTCCACTTAATGCATCCTATGAAGTGAGCTGTAGCTCACGAAAGCTTCTGCTCAGATAAATTTGTTAGTCTCTAAAGTGCCACAAGTACTCCTTTTCTTTTAGTTCTCATATAGCACTTTTCATTGGAAGACTTCAAAGCGCTTTTCAAAGGAGGTCAGTACTCTTTTATTAAGGAACAGTGGGTGAAATGTTATCTGGCATAGGTTGTGTTAAACATACCTTTGTGTGGCAGTTTCTTTACAGAATTAATAATCTTTGAATCACAGACATGTAGGACTGGAAGGGTCCTCAATAGGTCATCTAGTCCAGTCCCCTGCACTCAAGGCAGGACTAAGTAATAACTAGACCATTCCTGACAGGTGTTTGTCTAACCTGTTCATAAAAATCTCCAGTGATGGAGATTCCACAACCTCCCTAGGTAATTTGTTTAAGTGCTTAAGCACCCTGACAGTCAGGCAATTTTTCCTAATGTCCAACCTAAACCACTTTCATAATTAATTATATCATTTAAAAACTTTTTTTTTTCCGTAAAACTTACTGCAAATTTGTGACCAGACAAAGCCATAGGTTATTTGAAGAGTAGGCGATTTATTGTGCTCTCCATATTCTGACACATATTCCATTAAAATCCTGCCTTATTAGAACATTAAGGATGAGCGTGCCACAGTTGGGAAGCAACATAGTAAACTCAACCTTAATTCTCATTCTTGTGCATACACTGTGATAAAAGGTCACTTCCTCTGCTGAGGCTCTAGCCCACAGTTTTAAAACATCTCGTAGTTGAAAGGTAATCATGCTCTATAATAAGACTGCTGGCTAGAAATTGCTGGAATACTGTATCTCCATTAGCTTATGAGGGGGTCTCCTGCCGGGCTGTGTAGCTCTTACCTTTATAACTGCAGACATGGTTTACATACTGCTCCAACACAGCTTATGAGAAAGAGACCCCAGCCTCGTTCATGCCTTGTCTTATTCATAGTGCACCTTTTATTGTGGGCTTTCACAGTAACATTAGCTCCCCTAAAAGGCACAGATATAATATTATTAGTTAAGCTTTTAAATGTTCTGTCTCACACACACACACTCTCTCTCTCTCACTCACTCGCACACACACAGGATCACATTCCGGTTTCAGTTACACTGGTGTAAATTGTAGTAACTGTTCATTTCTGTCGGCAAAGGGAGCTTAGCTAAATTTTCCGCGAGAAAACAGCAAACGAAAACACTCTTCTTCTGAATTTTACTGTAATGGAATTTTATGGTGGCCAATGTAGCTTTAGAGTATAAATGAGATGAGAAATCTGTCCACAGTATACATTTAGGTGAACGTTTATGACCCAAACAGGTAGCTAAAGGTATTGGGTGAAATCCTGGCCCCAGTGAAGCCAATGGAAGTTTTGCCATTGATGTTAGTGGAGTGTGTATTTTTTCATCTATTCTGTATGTGCAATGTGGATGAATAACTGACACTATGAAGAACCTCAGCTTTTTAATTTTCAGATTTTGTGTGTGTGTTTATAGAAACATTTTTCTTGAATTTAATTACTGATATAACTTAATGAATCTATTATTACCTGTAAGAGTATAATGAAATAATGTGTTTGTTTGCTTTGTTAGGAGCTGTCTGCCAGATTGTTGTCTATTCACAGTGACCAAGACCTAATAGTGGTGACATTTAAAACATTTGAAGAAATATGGAAGTTTTTAACCTACTATTCCCTTGGTAAAGCAATTTCATCTGCAGGACTGTTCAATATTGTTGTTGTATTTTTATTGTAGACATAACTTTTTGATTAGCTGGAAACAATTGTTGAAAGGGATTAGCAAGATAAAAGCACTGGTTCTTAATGTATAATTTTGATTGTTTTAAAGCAATACTATCTATCTGCCCCCGCATCTGAGCACCTCAGTCTTTTATATCTTCACAACACCCTTTGAGGTAGGGAAGTACGATTATCCTCATTTTGCAGATGAGGAAGAGATAATGAAATGACTTACCCAAGAGATCTGTGGCAGAACCAGGAATTAAACCCAGGTATCCCATGGCCCAAACTAGAACCCTAAACACTGGACCAAGCCTCCATCTTCCTAATACTGTCTTTCCCAAGGAGAATTAATTATCCTATTAACAGTGGCATCTTAAAGAAAAAATTCATTCTTGTCACATAGATAGTATGATTCTTGGGATGATATTCTAGTTCACATGCATGCATAATTATTCAGCTATCTTCCAAAGCAGATATTCTAATATAGGCCTTGCATGTTCTAAACTCTGTAAAATGGTATAATCTCTATGTCCTATTGCACTGAGTGAGAGTTTTAAGATGTAAGGCATACAAGATTCAGAAAACAGAAATGATTAGCTAGGAGAGTTTATATAGGAAATGGAGAGTTTTATATAGGAAATTAAGGGCAATTTTTCAAACATGTCCATGTTTTTTCATTGCCTACATTTTTGGGTGCTCAACTTCAGTAATTTAGAACCAAACTTTTAAGAGATGTTGACCACCGCCAAATCCGGCTGAAAGGTGTTCGGCACCTCTGGAATCAGGCTCTAGCTATCTCAAATTTTGACCCTTGAAAATATGGGCCTTAGGCCTGATTCTGAGAGTTGTTGAACACAGGTTGCTTCCATTGACTTTAACTGGAGTTTTGGGAGCTCAGCACCTCTTAGGTGTCTGAAGTTGAGCATCCAATATTGGAGGACAATTTTGACAGTTTGGGACTAAGTAAGTGGTGAGAGAATCCTGCAGGGTAGTATGTCAGAGATGGAAAATCCCATGATGTTTTCCATCTAGAGAACTTCATTTGTAGACATATAATTTTGCTCAGTTTATTCATGATCCTGATGCCAATGTTTTTGCTCTTGAGTCTTGAATTCCATGCAGTTAGGGATGAAAAATGTTAGGAAGAAGTAGGGAACTGATGACAGGACTTGTTGCAGTGGTAGTAAAAGTCTAGTAAGATGAAGAAAGACAAGAGGAGTAGGCACTGCTGGCTAATGGGCTGGCAAGACCTTTGTGAACAGCACGTATCATGAGGCACTGAGCAGCTGATTATGCAAAATACTCCTTGATTAGAACTCTGACATTTCCACCATCAATATTTGGGCTTCATGGCCTTTTCTTAAATGCATCCCTTACATATTTGCTGCTATTTGCAAATTGCTATTTGTTGGCAGTAGAAATAAATGAAAATCTTAAAATTCACTGCTACTCCTACTGGGCCAGATACTCCAATGAATAAATCAGCATCGATCCATTCATGTCTCTTATGTGTATATCCTTGAGTCTGTCATAGATTCCTCTCGATGTCAATGAGAGTTGTGCATGTGCATTTTGCCAATACTGCAATCCAACAGCAGTTGGACATCGTATTTTAAGCAATAATTTGGATCGTCTGACTGGTAACCACCATTTATTGCCTTTTGGAGAAGTCTCTGTGTTAATTTAATTAAAGAGGCCACCTTAATTTTTTACTAGGTTTTATAAATCACTGCATGGAGAATTTGTTGCTAGATCAGTCTTTCTGGCTCTGTTCCCAAGAAGAGAATGAGGATAAACAAGAAGAAGCTGGAATTGAAGTCGATATAAATGAAGAGTCTCTAAATTTGATGTACAGAGGTCTCTTAATACAGGAAGGTAAGGAAGATTGTATTTGTAAAAGGATAACTATTATAGAAACAAGTATAGTCCCCACGGCCCCTTAAAGATTTTGGTTTTGAAAATGTAAGAGTGAAAAGTTGGGGTTTAATCTATCTCCAGTTAAATCAATGGAAGCCTTTCCACTGATTTCACTGGGTTTGAATCAGACACTAACTGCATCAGAATGTAGACAGAAAGAGAGTTGGAACAAAAACCATAGTATTGTACAAAGTTAGAAGAATCTTGAATCTTTTTAGAAGCATTGGCAGTAAATAGCATAAATAGCTGCAGATCATTTTTTAAAATGTATTTTTTTCTACAAGCCCAGTAAACAAACCTACCTAGGAACGTTAAAAACTTCCAGACTTTAAAAATATACAGTGACCCAGATTCTGCAACCCTTATTCACACGAGTACTTTCATTGACACCAATGAGTTAGCAAGGACTGCAAAATCAGGCCCTGGGGCACTATATCACCAAGTGTGTCTTAAGTCCTTTGATACCTTCTAATGTTACAATTTAAAAGACTTCTACAGTTACTAGTAGTTGTTGACTCTGCTCCACATTTTGCACTATAAGTGTCATTTTAGTTTGCATTAAATTCACTCTGGCTAATAAAAGTTTAGAATTTAAAAATATGTGTTAAAATTGTGATTAAAAATAGTCTTCTGAATTAATATCAATTAAAATGATCATTCTAGATGCTTGTGTTAAAAGCCACATGTGACATTAAAACAATTCAATCTCTCTAAAATATGAAATATATTTTTATTTCTTTTTAAGGAACTTTCTTTGTATTATGTCCTGACAACCTCATAAGAGAGACAACTGCTGCAGACATGGCAGTGAAAGTTTATCAAGAGAACAGAAGAGTTACTGAAGACATCTCTGGTGGATCACTGCGTGAAGACCTGACCACAGTGTCTAAAGCTGCTGCAGAGACTTTGATTCCTTTTCATCAGTAGGCACCTGACTTCAATTTCCTATTTCATATGTATAAGAATGTGTATTTATATACAGACAACTTTAAACTGACAGCATTTTGTAGCTGGCTTTGGAGGGCTCCCTCCTTTATTCAGGAGGTCTACAGATCTCTCACTCATTTCCTTCTTAAGTTCCATACCAAGTCAGATAAATAAGTGCTGATGCCATAGTGCAGTATTCAGGGAGATGGTTTACTATCTTTTGTATTAGATATTAAACCAATGTCCCTTCTTCCTGACTCTGGTGGCTATCCACTTGGATGTTTAAGGATGCAATGGAAATGACCTAGGTTTTGAAAAGCTCTATGGTGGTGTCAAAGATTTTCACTTTCAAAATCCAAAACATGGAAAAAATAGTTTTCACTTGCATCATCTTAGTGGGGAAGGATTGCTGGCCTCTTACATCACTCCAGCTTCTTTGGCAGGTGGCAGTCAAGCTCCTTTTTGCAGTCTCCTTTGGGATCAGCCCAGGGTCACTAATCCCTAAATCCAGGTGAGTGGGATCAGCCTTGGTGCCTAATTTGTGCCAATGCTGAGCTGCAGCACCTCTAGATTTGGCAATTTATAGCCCTGGCACCTCTGGGCTTGCTGCATCAGTTATGAATGTAAAAAAAATTGCTCGAGCCCCGGCACCTCTTTCATTACAAATTAAGCCCTGATCAGCAGAGAACCACTCTAGTGGTGCTGCTGGCCCATAGAAATCTGAGTCTGAAGCAGAGTCCATAAGTTAGTGTCAGTGGTTACTAAGAGATCCCAGGAAATATACCTGACCCCTAGAAGAAAAGCAGAAATTCGTGCTTTAGTTTTGTTTTTCTGACTGGCTGAAGGAGGACGCTTAAAATACAGCCGCTTTATCTAGAAAAACAAGTCCAATTAAATCAAAATGGCTTCTGCTGACCCTCCTGAGTGAATGGGTTAGCTGAACCAATCAGCAAAGCAAACCAAATACCATTTGACTTCATTCATATAACCCATCCCAGCTGATACTCACAATATGAAATGTATTAGTAAAAGATACTTGAAACTTTCACAGATAATCGAGCCTATCTTTTCCTTTGACAAAAAAGGGCTTATTATTATTACTAATTTGCCATGGACTAGGCTGCATTGTGCTAGGCTCTGTACAAACACAGAACAAAACAACAGTCCCTGCCCCTCAAGGCTAGAGAGTTTTACATGAACCATAGCATTTTTACTAGGAGTCCGGTGGCACCTTAAAGACTAACAGATTTATTTGGGCATAAGCTTTCGTGGGTAAAACACCCATGCATCTGAAGAAGTGGTGTTTTACCCACGGAAGCTTATACGCCTTGTTGTTTTTGTGGATACAGACTAACACGGCTACCTCCTGATACTTGACAGCATTTTTACTAAAGCTCTGCAAACTTTAAAACAGGGAAATGCATAAAGTGTTAAATTTCATGTTGAATGTCTTATCACAGCTCTATTATATGACTAAATTAGTCAGTTATTGCTGCTTTGTTAACTTGCCATATTGAATAATTTAATTCTGTGGTCATCAATACCTTTTTGAGGTGGAGCTGGCAAGCAAATATGCATCAAAACAAAATTTCAACCAAGAATTAGGAAAAAATAGTGAAAAATGTTGTGATTGCCCACTGCCCCCTGTTCCCTTTCTTCTTCCAGCTAGCTGTACCTGTAAAGAGTGTTCAACAATTACATGGTTTGCATAATCAAGAAATGGACAGGATATCATTCCATTATATTTCCAGTCTCCTTCAGATTCTATGGTGCTCAGTTACCACACTGATAAATGTCTTATATGTATTTAAAGTGGACAAGCAGAAGCATTGAAATCAATAAAAGTTTGAAGAAATAGGAGTTTAGAATATCCCTGCCTCTATTAAAACCTTCGGGAGGTGTTTCAGATACTTATTCCAGTGTCCTTTTTTCCTTCCTCTAGATGGTTTCTTAAAGTATACTCTGATCCTGTTCATTTTGCTAGCAAAATGGAGTCTAAATGCAGCAAGCAAATAGGTAAGAAACTCCATCTAAACTTTTGCATCTAATTTTATAGATATTTAAACGGCATTATATAAATTCCCAGAGCTAGATTTTACAGGGTTTGGTAATGTTCGCACCTTCTCATTTAGCTGTACTAGAATAGCAAAATTGCCATAGCAATTATGGTGCTGTAATATAGGATGGCTGGCATAAATTTCTGCCTACAACTAGATTTAAGCATAGCATATCTACTGAGTGTCTTTCATCCAGAAGTGCTTTACAGGCAATAGCCATGTGTCTAATTAATGTCTAGCAATATGGTGTCTAGCATGTGTCTAAACTCTGAAGGTCTATTTTCTTGACTTTTCAATTTTATTTTATTGTTTTGCTCATAAATATTCATTCATACTTCAAGGCATATATATCAAGTAGATATGTAATATATTCCAGTCAAAAGAAATACATTAATAAGCTATTCCATAGGTCTGACATTTAAAGTTTGTAAAGAAAAGAAGGAAAATTGGAAATTGAAAGCATTTACATATAATGAACACATGTTCACACACACACACACACACACACACACACACACACACAGGTTCACATATATTTTTGTCTGAAACAGCCACAGCAGCCCATGTACCAGATGATCAGTTATTTTCTGACTATGGTTTATTTTGTTTTCCATTCTTTGACTTATTCCAATCATTATACTTCTAGACTAACATAAAGTCATAGATCTATTTAACAGGTACACCGTGCATGTATTCACATTTATTTACTATAGAACAAATCCTGCTACCCTTAGCTAAAGTATCAGTATCCCCAAAAGACCTGTTTCAGAGTGGTAGCTGTGTTAGTCTGTATCAGCAGAAAGAACGAGGAGGACTTGTGGCACCTTAGAGACTAACCTATTTATTTGAGCATAAGCTTTCGTGGGCTAAAGCCCACTTCATTAGATGCATGTCGTGGAAAATACAGTAGGAAGATACATATATATACAGAGAAGATGAAAAAATAGGGCTTGCCATACCAGCTCTAACGAGACCAGTCGATTAAGGTGGGCTATTATCAGCAGGAGAAAAAAACTTGTGTGTTGATAATTAGGATGGCCCGTTTCGAACAGTTGACAAGAAGGTGTGAGTAACAGTAGGGGGGAACATTAGCGTGGGGAAATAGTTTTTAGTTAGTGTAATGACTCATTCACTCCCAGTCTTTATTCAAGCCTAATTTAATGGTGTCCAGTTTGCAGTTTAATTCCAGTTCTGCCTTTTTTCATTGGAGTCGGTTTTTGAAGTTTTTTTGTTGAATAATTGCGATTTTTAGGTCTGTAATTGAGCGTCCAGAGAGGTTGAAGTGTTCTCCAACTGGTTTTTGAATGTTATAATTCTTGACGTCTGATTTGTGTCCATTTATTCTTTTGTGTAGAGGCTGTCCGGTTTGGCCAATGTACATGGCAGAGGGACATAGCTGGCACATGTTGGTAGATGTGCAGGTGAACAAGCCTCTGATAGTGTGGCTGATGTGATTAGGCCCTATGATGGTGTCCCCTGAATAGATATGTGGATAGAGTTGGCAATGGTCTTTGCTACAAGGATAGGTTCCTGGGTTAGTGGTTCTGTTGTGTGGTGTGTGGTTGCTGGTGAGTATTTGCTTCAGGTTGGGGGGCTGTCTGTAAGTAACGACTGGCCTGTCTCCCAAGATCTGTGAGAGTGATGGGTCATCCTTCAGGATAGGTTGTAGTTCCTTGATGTGCTGGAGAGGTTTTAGTTGGGGGCTGAAGGTGATGGTTAGTGACGTTCTGTTACTTCCTTTGTTAGGCCTGTCCTGTAGTATGTGACTTCTGGGTACTCTTCTGGCTTTGTTAATCTGTTTCTTCACTTCAGCAGGTGGGTACTGTCATTGTCAGAACACTTGATAGAGATCTTGTAGGTGTTTGTCTCTGTCTGAGGGATTCGAACAAATGCGGTTGTATCATAGAGCTTGGCTGTAGACAGTGGATCATGGTGTGGTCTGGATGAAAGCTGGAGGCATGTAGGTAAGTATGACGGTCAGTAGGTTTCTGGTATAGGGTGGTTTTGTGACCATCGCTTATTAGCACTGTGGTGTCCAGGAAGTGGATCTCCTGTGTGGACTGGTCCAGGCTGAGGTTGATGGTGGGATGGAAATTGTTGAAATCATGGTGGAATTCCTCAAGGGCTTCTTTTCCATGGGTCCAGATGATGAAGATGTCATCAGTGTAGCAGAAGTAGAGTAGGGGCATTAGGGGACGAGAGCTAAGGAAGCATTGTTCTAAGTCAGCCATAAAAATGTTGGCATACTGTGGGGCCATGTGGGTACCCATAGCAGTGCCACTGATTTGAAGGTATACATTGTCCACAAAAGTGAAATAGTTGTGGGTGAGGACAAAATGACAAAGTTCAGTCACCAGGTTTGCCGTGACATCGGGGATACCGTTCCTGACGGCTTGCAGTCCATCTTTGTGTGGAATGTTGGTGTAGAGGGCTTCTACATCCATAGTGTCCAGGATGGTGTTTTCTGGAAGATCACCAATGGATTGTAGCTTCCTCAGAAAGAAAGTGGTGTCTCGAAGATAGCTAGGAGTGCTGGTAGCGTAGGGCCTGAGGAGAGAGTCTACATAGCCAGACAATCCTGCTGTCAGAGTGCCAATGCCTGAGATGATGGGGCGTCCAGGATTTCCAGGTTTATGGATCTTGGGTAGCAGATAGAATGCCCCTGGTTGGGGTTCTAGGGGTGTGTCTGTGCAGATTTGTTCGTGTAGCTTTGGCAAGAAACTAGAAACCAATACTAGCGGGATTTTTGTTGTAGGTGTAACCCTTCTGCCCGTCAGAGTTGGCAGCAACAAGGGCCGGGTACAATATCTAGGGGATCCATTCCAATAACACGATGCAAACTGGCTCGAGCCCCCACCCAGTGACCTGGGACAAATATATACCACCCCCGCTGGGCGCCTCCAAGAGGCAATACTTGCCCTCTCGCAAGCACCTAGTCTGAGTGTAGCAAAAAACCTTTGTTTCTCTCTGTTATTAAATGTGGCATTATGTTGGGGAAACACCACCAACGGGATTCATAACACAACCCATGAGCAAAAAAACCCACCCCAAGCAAATTGGGGCATGCCCCCTTCCCTTTGGTTCTTGAGTCCAGCAACCCCAAATCACCCAAAGTCCCAAAAGTCCAATGACTCAAAAGTCTCTGTCCCTGGTCAGGGCAGCTCCAGAGTTCGAAAGTTTATCTGCAGAGCTTTACCTCCCAACCTGGGTGGAGATGGGGGCGGGGTAAGAGGCACCTTACATGATCTGAAGCTGACCGCCCCACAGCTCCATAGGCCTCCACTCCGCCAGCCGCCCCACGAACTCCTTCGCTCAGCTCCGCAGCCCACAAGCAGCTCCCGCCGTCCCATAAACTGCTCCACCAGCCCGTCCACAAACTGCTCCACGTCCCACCAGCAGCTCCCGCCGTCCTACGAACTGCTCCACCAGCCTGTCCACAAGGCACTCCAGCCGTCCCGCAAACTGCTCCACAATATATCTTCAGGCTCCCCCACTACTTAACACAATGCTCAGTGATTTCAGCTCTTAGTCAGTTCAGTTCTTTGGTGACTTCAGCTTGTAGTAGGGGAGCCTCAGTGCTGGTGCACTGTTAGCCCAAAGTGAGCTCAGCAGCCTGTAACTAAACTTCTAATGAAATCAAAATTAGCTCTGATATTCCACAGTGGAGAGAGGAGGAAGCGCAATTAGCATGTAAGGCCCTCACCAAGGGGCCATGCCACCAAGTATTAATACTTGTCCACAGCCTCTCTCCATTCACAGAGTTTTGGAACCCATGACCCTTGCCTAGAGAGTACTACTTAGTTGATGGTGAGTCCCTCCATTATAACAAAAGGCCAAATACAGTTCCAAGCACAGTTCCCATAATCAGGGTAATAACAATTTATTCTTCCTGCCCCAATAACAGAGACACTGGGGATCCCACAGCAGCCAAAGTGACCACTTGGGCAGCTATAGCCTCATTCTAGGCGGGGTAGGTGTGCCTATGCAAATGAGATCAGCCCCTGAAGTTCTTTTCCACAACTTGCCACACCTCACCACCAGATGTCAGGGTGGAGCTCATCCTGACACTGCTTACATAGGTAATATCTGAGAATAATAAGAGCACTCACTTGTAATTACTGGATTGATTGGAAGAAAGCAGAAAAGACTTAATTTTAATGTTTGTTTTTGACATTTGAAATCTTAAAAAAATGTCAATCAGCTCACGAGCTTTTCAAAAAATGGAGGAAAGAGGGGATTGAATTTTTTAACATCTTTCTAGCTTTTTTTTTAAAAAAACAATTTTTTGATCTATTGGTTACCACCAGAGCCAATTAGCATCCCTCAAACATGTTTTGGTCAGGGCAGCGTCCAGAAGAACCAATCACTGTTCCAGCCCAAGCAGGAATAAAGGTGATGGGGTGCTTTAACCAAATTTTCCCTAAGAAAACAGCAATCCAAAACACCAAATGCAGCTGTGGTGCATTTAACTCTAAGTAACACACATTTATGATGTTAGATGCATCCCTTTAACAGTGGGCATTGCCGATGTGGGGATATTTAGATTGCAGATTGCAGTCCCATCTCCATTCTTGTTTGGACCATACCAGCTCCTGCTTCCACAGGGTTTATTTATGGGGATTTTCTTTCTATCAAACTCACAAGTGGGTATTGCAAAATCTATTCACCTCTTCTTTTTTTTTTTTCTAGTCTGTTACAAAAGTAGGTAAATGACCATTATGTTCATCTTTAAAGCAAGTGGAATTTTGAATACATTTTAAATACTGTTTTATATGGGTTGAAGGACTGTGAGATAGATTTGATGCCTTTATACAATACTGTAGTGCTCTAGAAAGCAATTGCTTGCTTCAAAGCATCAAAAAGTAATAAATCTCTCCTCACCATGAGTGCAATTCACAACAATGTCTTTGGCCATAATATTCTCCCTCGTTATGCTGAGTCACCATGATGTTAAATGCTTATGTAGTCATATTTTCAAATTAATGCATCTCCAAAACCTTATTATGCAGCTACGGGATCTTCTGAAGCAGTGATTAGTTATGCAAGTGCTGTGCCTGAAGAGATTAGCTTCCAGAGTGGAGACAAAATTGAAATCATTGGCTACTTCATAGAATGTCTGGAGTGGTTTGTTGGAAGACATATGTTGACGGGACAAATTGGTTTTGTAAAGACCAGCCACGTTAAACCTGACACCTCTGGAACTGAGTAAGTACTATGCATTATATTTTAACCAATGAATTTAAAGGGGCACAGTCAAATTTTTTTTAAAGTCTTTTAATATACCTTTTGTTTGTAAAACTCTTACATCTCTTTATGGAGAGAGTTTCCATTGTGTGACATGGAACAAAGAAAACTGTAGCATAAGCTGCTTCTCCTCCATTAGTAACCCAGATCCAAATGTGAGCAGTTCCTGTTGTCCCAGAAGGCACATCGTACCCACTTGATTCAGTCTATTTTTTTCTTGCCTTGGGTCTTTCATTTCAATAGTCTCCATACTCCGTGACCTCCAGTGATCCATGTTAGACAGAGGCACCCAAGGCTCAACCAAGGATCACACTGGTACCCTCAGGCCACTGGCAGGTTAACTCCTAACTTTCCTAGGATACAGAGGAACAGCCGTGTTAGGGATGGGCTAGCACCAGCAGGAGAGTGAATTTGTGTGGGGGGGTGGAGGGTGAGAAAACCTGGATTTGTGCTGGAAATGGCCCACCTGTTGATCACTTTAGATAAGCTATTACCAGCAGGACAGTGGGGTGGGAGGAGGTATTGTTTCATATTCTCTGTGTGTATATAAAGTCTGCTGCAGTTTCCACGGTTTACATCTGATGAAGTGAGCTGTAGCTCACGAAAGCTCATGCTCAAATAAATTGGTTAGTCTCTAAGGTGCCACAAGTACTCCTTTTCTTTTTCCTAGGATAGATTGCAAACACTTCTATTCTGAGGTGCATGCAGTCTGTGGGCACTACAGGCTGTATCATCTTGAACTGAGTGGAGCTCATTGATTCAAACATATGGAGGGTTTGCACATGGAAACAGTATGCTTATAAAACTTGCAGGTGCAATTTTTGAGGCCCATTTGAAAATTTGGCCCTAAAGATTATTGGAAAAGAAATATTGTGATACATGCAATCTTAGCACAGTGAATGACTGTTGTAATAAAATGCTACCATGATACACGAATATTGATAAAACTTCCTTTGATGTGCTTGAAAAAGGATTACCAGCATGCACAATTGGCATTATCAATATACATTTGTATGCACAGTTACCATTATCAATTTTGAACACACCACAATTGATTCTATGATAATGCAAAGATTTTCACCATTTCCTGTAACAAGCACAAAGTATAATAAACCCGTGCGTGGTTTGTTAGCAGGGTTTAAACCTTGGATCTTCAGCTCTGCAGCTGAGACCTATGACACTTGAACTAAAAGCGTTAGTCATTTAGCTGGAAGCAGTAGTAGGCTGATATCCTCTAGTGGGCAAGCTAATAAAGGGGGACAAAGTGCATGTTATGTTCATGTGCTGCATAAGCCAAATATACTAATAACGCAAAGGAATATGATAGCTGTTATTCAAACTTACTATTCCCTTTTGTAGACAACAAAATCTGGATTTTCTTGATAAGGAAGAGAAATCTTTTTTCGCAAAAGAAAGAAATGTTGTGGAAGAGGATGTGGTGCATTTATTGAAGCAGACATCAAATACAGAAGTTTGCACTGTGTATAGAGTAGGTAAGGATAGGTTCTATTCTTTGAGGGATGGATTCTCTCCTCCAGATGCATGCATAGTTCCCATTACTCCTCAGTTATTTTTGATTTCTTTCTGTATCTCAATGAGACGTTTTCCCCATTTATAGGCATTTTGAATGTTATTGGCAGGTGCATTTATATCACAGAAATTGCATGTAGAAAGTCCTTTTAGATCATCTACACGAATCTCCTGCTGACAAAAGACTGTCACTGCAGGGTATTCACCCAGACTTTTTTGTCCACTTTTGAATGACTCAAACAATGTGGCTCCAACATGCCTCCAAGAAACTTTTTCACAGTTGAATAGATCTTGCACCTTTAAAATGTTACAGGTTGCTGCATTATAAAAGATGCAATGCATACAGCCAAATACTGTATTGTATTGTTCTCAGTTAAGGTTGAATACTAATGTAAACACACACCTTTATGCTTGAATGAGATTTCAAAGTGTAGAAAAATAGCTATAATATGTCAGTTCAAAGAAATAACATTCTCTTTCTCATAGCAGTGGCATTTTTGATGTAAAGTTATTATCATTATAAAAGCCCTCTCACTTTCCATACACAGATAGAAACAATAGGGGGCCATTCTCCTCCCACTTTGCTATGAACAAAAATTGTAGGCCATACTGACAAGATGGGGGACTCTATCCTGGGAAGCAGCGACTTTGGAAAAGATTTGGAGGTGGTGGTGGATAATCGGCTGAACATGAGCTCCTGATGTGATGCGGTGGCCAAAAGGGCTAATGCAGTCCTTAGATACATAAACAGAGGAATCTCAAGTAGTAGTAGAGAGGTTATTTTACCTCTGCATTTGTCACTGGTGCAACCACTACTGGAATGCTGTGTCCAGTCCTGAAAGGAAATTGGAGAAGCTTCAGAGAAAAGCCATGAGAACACATCTTATAGTGTGTTTGGGAAGGGGGAGGCTTGTTGCATCTGAGTCCAGTGGTATTATCAGGTGATGGGAGTCTGTGGAGCTGGTGGTAGGGGAACCTGGGCCCTCCCTACTCCACTGGACCCTGTGACTGGCAGGTTGGATATACAGCCTGGGGGCGGACGCCACCAAGTCTGTTCCCTGGGTCACTTCGTACCTCAACCTCTGTCCTTCCAAAGTCAAAACAGGGCCTGTTTATGGACTCATAGGGTGCAGGGGAAGGAGAGGTTCTCCCTGACAATGATCCGGAGGCTTTTCTTAAATGGCGGCCTGCCGTTCCTGGTCTCCATGAAGCCTTCAGCAGTGGGGCCTGGTTTGGGTAGTGTGGTACCTCCTGCAGGAGCTAACAGCATAGGACTGTTTGCTTACTCTGTCCACCTTGACTGAGCTCTGCCTCCAATGTGAGCATGCCCAGCAGGTGTGGGTGGATGGGGCCTTCTAGGCCCAAAACTGCTCATTAACACTTGGTTCCGCAGGGTGGGGCTTATACATCCCATCACATAGTGATAGATTCAAGGAGCTCAATATATTTAGCATAACAAAGAGACGTTTAAGGTGTGACTTGATTAGTCTATAAGTACCTAAATGCATAGGTACCGACTCCATGGGTGCTCCAACCCCAGAGCATCCATGGGGAAAAAAAATAGCCGGTGCTCAGTGCCCACCAGTCACAGCTGTTTTTTGGTGCCGCCAAATAGCTGTTTGGTGGCTGGGGAGGGGCTTGGGAAAGGGCGGAGAGAGTGAGTGGAGGCCTCAGGGAGGGGGGTGGAGGAAGGCAGGAAGAGGCGGAGCCAGGGTGGGGCCTTGAAGGAGGGGGCAGAGTGAGGGTCAGGCCTTGAGGGAGGGGGAAGAGTGGGGCTGGGAAAAGGCAGAGTGAGGGCGGAGCTTTGAAGGAGGAGGTGGGGCCTCTGGGTGGGTGGAGCACCCCCGGGAAGAAAAAATACTCAGCACCTAGGCCTAGATGGGGAACAAATATTTAATAAAGGGCTCTTCAATCTAGTAGAATAAGGTATAACACGAGGTTGAAGCTAGATAAATTCAGACTGGAAATACGGCATAAATCTTTAATGCTAAGAGTACTTAACCACTGGAACAACTTACTAAGGGTGGTGCTGGATTTTCTATCCCGGGCAAATTTAAAATCAAGATTGGATGTTTTTCTAAACGATATGCATTCGGAATTTTTCTTGGAAAAGTCCTATGGCTTGTGTTAAACACGAGGTCAGACTAGATGATCACAATGGTCCATTCTGGCCTTGGAATCAGTCTCTTAAACTCAATGCCGCAGCTCTCACTGACTTTCGTGGAAATAGGATTAGGCTCCCATTCCCTAAGAACAGCTTCTTATGGTGTTTTTGAAATTGTCCCTTGCTGTGTTTGTCAAACACAACATTTGTCTAAAGAAAAATCTCTCTCCTTGACTTTTACTAGGAGTACCATTTACTGAACATGACAGGATTTGCATGACATAAGAATCTGAAAATAATATCCTATTTAATCTGTGGCTCAGGTCCTCAGCTAGTATAAATCAACATAACTTCACTGAAGTCAGTGGAGCTACGTCAATATACACCAGCTGAAGATCTGACACTGTTGTCATCACAGAGTCCATGACCATGGTATAGAATTACTTACACACCCACACAAAATATTATCGCATTTATGCACACACACACACACACACGCAAAATATTATGGCATTTATGCACAAAAGAATCAGAAGGGATGTACAACAAAGCAAATACTGCAAGTACCAGCATAAAGCCATTAATTAACTCCACATGTCATTCTAAATGCCTTCTAAAACAAAAACGTTTCAAACCTGCTTTAACGTGACTTAGCTCCATGAGTCTATATTTTAGACTTTCTGCCATATCCTTACATATTCATACATCTGATGAAGTGAGCTGTAGCTCACGAAAGCTCATGCTCAAATAAATTGGTTAGTCTCTAAGGTGCCACAAGTACTCCTTTTCTTTTTGCCATATCCTTCACACTCTTCGCAGCTTTAGCTGACATTTAGCATGTGAAGGACAGTGAACTCATTCATTATAATGTGAGTAACTGAATTTTATCAGAAACATCAATAGAAGAATATGCAATCAAACAAATTATCCTACAGCAATTGACATAAGCCAGAACTTGTTAAGGAACGAGATACCATTACCAGTTATGGAGGTTGTCTGCAATTGATTGGAAATCCTTTGTGGAAGATTTGATGGTCTGTTCTACATAATATGACCATTCTTAGCTCTTCTTTAGATGTGCTTTGTTAAACACACACACAGCATTTAAATCTGGATTGTGAATATAGCGCTTAGAAAATCTGTGTTATAATGTGTCAACCCAAAAAAACAGTATGTTATACCATTATGCTGCATTCAAGGGGAGAGCTTTATATTTTTACACAGTCCCATCATAGAAACCAAAAATATATTCTAATATTACCACTAGATTATATAGATATTGTGTAATGCAACAGCCACCTACTATAATTCCAGGTCAGTTTTACATGTATAGCTGTACATTGCCATATGCTCAGGAAGAGGTACCATTACTCTTAAATATTACAGGTTGTTGTGCAGAGAATATGAACGACTGTAATAGTGTAGAAGAAGGGAGTCATAAGCATAGGAGTAGCTCACCAGTGAACTCAGCTTTTTGTTAATGTTTACAAGTTTATATAAATGATCCATTCTTTTTAACGTCCATAACGCACCTGAAATACTGTAGGTAGAAAGGCTTAAATAATCCTGCTGGAGAAAAGACAGAGTATAATTACTGGTACTATTTTCGTTTTCTTTCAGATAGATTAGAAGAATTAGAATTTCAGAACCCTCAAGAACAAGGTAAAATGTATAATATATTTTATATTATTTTTGATCATCTTAGGTCTTTGTTTCTGATCCTATTGTGGGAAAAACTAACAGGATTTCACATTTTAAAATTGTTTCTGTTTGGTATGATTCCCCCCCCCCCCTTCTGTGCCTGTTCACAGAAAGGTTGTGTGGATCCCTATTGTTGTTATATGCTCCTTTTCAGATCTCCGTTTTCCCTTGCCATGCAGTCTTGCTGTGAATTTCTCTGGCTAGGAAGGCAGAATGTGTTATGTGACACCCATGAAGTGTTCAGAATCTGCTACAAACACTTTCATGCTCTTAGGGTGTGATCATCTAATGAGCATTTTTCCTGATGATGTTTTGTTGTGTCATTTAATATTATTATTTGTATTGCTGTCACATCTGAGTCCTACATCTTGGATCAGGGTTCAGTTGTGCAAAGCACTGAACACACATAACAATGAGATGGTCTTTCAAGCTTATATTCTAAATATAAAATGGGAATCCTGCTGGATAGTTTTGGGGATGGAGTTCTGTGGGAGTTCACAGAACTTTCTATATGTGCAGCCCCAATGAACAATTGAGTATCAATAAGAGTTTTTTTTCTAATTGACAAAGTCTATGGGCAATTCCTCTCCCCTGTGCTAACCCCAACTACTCTGACCAGGGGACTTCCATATCCTGAGTGGCCTACCAAATCCTCCACATAGGTCCCCCCTCTCCCCATCCCCCAAACCATGCTAGTTCCATTGCTGGAGGGTGGAAGGAAGCAGGATTTGCTTCTTATTTGGGATTGCACTAAACACAGCACAAATCTGACTCATTCTAGACTCATTTTCCATTAATTGAAAAAGGCTCATCACAGAAGCTATAGGCCTGCTACATCTTTAATCTTCCCAGCATACTCCTATGCTCAGAGAAACAAAGAGAGAACACAATATCATTACAGTTGTTAGGATGGCTTTTGATGAATGGGGTTGGTTGGAAAATTTCTATTAATTTTTTTAGTTGAAAAATTGGGTTTTCAACTAAATGAAAATTTTTGTAGAGTGTTTTCTTTTCTTGAACATTATATATTTTTGTCAGAAAACAAAAGGCCCAAACTGATTTCATTTTATTTTATTTTGAGAGAGAGTGTTTTTGGCAGTTTCCACCTGAAATTTATTTCAATTTGTGGCAGTTTTCAGCAACCAAAACTTGCGGGGAGGGGAGGAGTTTTTTGGGTTTTTAAAAAAAAGTCAAAATTTTCAATGGGGGAAAAACACCCACTTTCCCACTAGCTGTATTTATAACCCTCACACAATTATTCTGTTTCATTGAAGAGTATAAACATTAAACGTCTTCTCAAGGGAAAATGAAAGCTCTATTTGTTTCAGAGTAACAGCCGTGTTAGTCTGTATTTGCAAAAAGAAAAGGAGTACTTGTGACAACTTAGAGACTAACCAATTTATTTGAGCATAAGCTTTCTAGCTCACAAAAGCTTATGCTCAAATAAATTGGTTAGTCTCTAAGGTGCCACAAGTACTCCAGCTCTATTTGTATTTCTTTACACCATTGTCTGTCAATTAATTTTGCTTGAATTTCCTGCCCCATAAATCTGTCTATATTCTTGTATTTAGTTGGATCTTGCATTTAGTTGGATCACATAACTTGCTTTTGAATTGCAGAAATGCCACATCCCTCATCTAATACAGACTCCAGTAGAATGAGGGAGATGGTAAAAGAATCCCTTATGAAATGTAAAGATTTCCAGCTCCACTTGAAAGGGACATCTAGTCAAGGAAATGATTTTCCTAGCTCTTCAAATCAGCAGACCTGTGCCTTGGCTGAAGAGCCACGTTTCTGCATACAACAAGATGAAGAAGATCACGGGTCTGGGGTCTTTCAGGCATTATTGTTGTTCTTAAACAGTAAAGAGTATGAGGTGCACTTCAAAAACCTGTACGACTTCTCCTTCCCTTTTCTTAACACCACATTTTATGGCTACACTGGTGAAGAAGAACTGGTTGACTATTTTGGACTGGCAAGGGAGGCAGCAAAGAAAGCAAATCTGCCTTGGGCCCTAACAAGGCTATGCTTTCTCTTGGGTAGACTGTGTGTGAGAAAGCTCAAATTTTCCCAAGCTCGCGTTTATTTTGAAGAAGCCTTAGGAGCTATAAGAGGAGGTTTTAGTGATCTGTATCTTGTAGTTGCTCTTTATACAAATCTAACAGTCATCTACTTGAAACAGAAGAACAAAGGAAAATGTGCTCAGATTTTTGACAAGGTTACTTCCCTGCTCATGGGAATTCCCAACTACATCTGTAGCACTGACATGGAGTCAGACATTCTAAGGTACGCTTTAAAGAGGACAGTACTGAGTCAGAGCAAGCATGCAGAAGCCAGAGCATGCTTCCTCTTGGCAAAACATTACACAAAACTTAAACAGTATGAAGATGCACTACCATTTCTAGAAAGGCTGCAGCTTTTGAATAATGACTTGGATTTACAGAAGAGCTCGCTGTCAGCCGACTGCTATTTTAAACTAGGTGAGTCCTACAATCAAAAATGCTTGCCACACATTGTGCTAAGTTGCATAAAGGTTGCTTCTTCCCAGGGATCCTATACTCTAATGGACTCTTTGAGAAGCATTGATTTAGTCACCAAAAATGCTCCCAAACTCCATAGGCTGAGGAAAGCTGGGCAAATGCTCCCATCCCAAATTGCACCTTATCTCAGACAGGCACTTTCCTCAGCATTTACCAATGAGCAGCAAAAACTATGCAGCACAATTTATCTTAGCTTATCCGAACTCTACAGTCATCACAGACGGTATGGAGAAGCCATTGTTTATATGGAGAAAGTACTGGACTTCAATACTTCTGCCCACGTGGGAGAAACTATTAACCATTTAGTTTCACTTGCTTGGTTATATATTCTTCACAGGCAAAATACTGTCGCTTTGGCCATCCTAAATACCATTGTAGACTCTTCATTGAGTAGTCCTCAGCAGTTAGGTGTTATTTATAATATGACTGCCATTGCTTTGAAACGAACCAACAACATAAAGCAAGCTGCTGCGAGTTACTACAAGGCTCTGCACGTTTCAGAAGAGGCTGATATGGTACACAACCATGCTGTAGTTCTGGCTAATTTTGGAACTCTCTGCCTGCATTTAGCAGCCAATTGTTTGGCAGAGCACTACTATGTCAAAGCAGTAAAGCTATTCTCTGGACTTCCAAGCTTGGATGGTGGTCACAATTTCACTCAAGTCCTCCTCCAACTGGGACGCTATTATGCTAATGGAACTCATAAGAAAAGAGGACAATTTTATTATGAATGGGCATTATTGGTGGCAATGGAAACAAATCATTTGGAAAGTAAGTACATTTGTTTTTCAAATAAATTTTACTGTACCCTGGGAATTTGGGAATGTTTGCTATCTATATACATTTCAGCTCCTCCTTAAGCAATATTTTTTATTTTTAGTTGATGTGACAGTTATATGAGTGACTCAAAACCCAGAAATCTTGTGTTTACACTGAAAGCATGCATGTAGGAGAGGAGAGAGGGAGGATGGTCCAGTTGTTAGGCACTAGGCTGACTCAGAAGATATGATTTCAGTTCCCTGCCCTGTCACAGACTTCCTGTGTGACCTTGGAGAAGTCACTTAGCCTCTCTGTGTCTCAGTTTGCCATCTGTGAAATGGGGAGAAAATAGTGGGAAATAGTATTTCCCTATATGGCATATTGAAAACTGTGTTAAAATGCTAAGATATCACTTTAAATCTTAGGAGTTTTCCTAGTCTTGCTTGCAGGCTAGGGGTCTCTGTAGGAAAGCATGCAATCTGTGTCTTTCAGTTATCAGTCTCCAGAGAGCCAGCCTCGAGCAAGGTTGGGTGAGTTGTGCCTGTCTACCTTATGGAACAGTCTGCTTTCTCTCTCTCTCTCTCTGTTTTTTTAGTTCTTGCGTGTTAAAGTTTTGGAAATTAAGAAATAAAGCAATGTTATGTTGCAACCCTCCAGACAAAGTACTATGTGTTTTTATCTAACTTCTCTGTAGGCCATGATCATAATACCCTCCCTCGCAGGGGTGTTGTGAGGATAAAGACGTTAAAGATTGTGTGGAGCTCAGATGCTGTGGTAATGAGGATCGTATAAGTACCTTCAATTGATAGGTTGCAAAGTCAGGCATTCAGAAGTTAGGAAATGCCAGAATTAAGGCCTCACAGGTTACTTCAATTCAGGTCCCTTTGTGCATATGCATTATGAGAGGGATAGCTCAGTGGTTTGAGCATTGGCCTGCTAAACCCAGGGTTGTGAGTTCAGTCCTTGAGGGGGCCATTTAGGGATCTGGGGCAAAAATTGGGGATTGGTCCTGCTTTGAGCAGGGGGTTGGACTAGATGACCTCCTGAGGTCCCTTCCAACCCTTATATTCTATGATTCTATGAGACCATCTTTAATGATATGATCACATGCTATTTGGCAACGAGAAGTAACTGAGGCAGAGTCCTTGCTCTTTGAATAGTTTTTAGGGCTCTCAGAAATGGTGTAGAAAATGAAAATCTTGACAGAAAGAAACTAGTTCAATAATAAGAGTAAATGAAAAATGCCTGTGTGCCCTGCAGTATCTGGAGTGGAAATGAACTGTGTCGTAAACATGGAGCACATCCATTTTAATTTTAAATTGTAAAAATTAAGGAAAGTTTTCACTTACTTGATCTACCCAGGTACACTGTTGGTCTTTCTGAATGACACTTCATTGATCGGCAGGCAGAAGATGCAGAAAGAACAATGCTTTTAGCACCTTTTATTCCAGACACTAAGCATGAGTCTTCACTAGTTAAGGCAGAGGGGGATGTGGCAGTGGAGGGTACATCTGCCATGGTACAGGGCTATGTCTGAAAAAGATATTATGTATGACAATGTTCCAGCAATTCCGGGTTACAACAACCCGAGTGAGTTCACTTAAGCCTTGTTTCATTTTTGTTTAAACTAAAGATTCATGTTGAGTGTTCATTTCTATTTCCTAATCTGGTTTCCCAGGTCAGCTCCAAGCTGTTCAGTTGCTGTGTCAATTCTACACTACAGTTGTTCCAGATGAAGCTCAGTGTGTCATTTACAATGAATATCAACTATCCTTGGCTCGGAAAATGTCAGACAAAGTTTTGGAGGGGCAAATTTTGGAAACCATCAGTCAGCTGTATCTCTCTTTAGGCACAGAAAGGTGAGGTCCATTTAAACGACTGATTTTTTGTTTTGTTTTGTACTCATGAGAAGATTTAGCTCTGGAGGCTGAAGTCAGCAGGCTGGGTATTGGCAATGGCAGGACAATCTTCTCCCACACTGTTCTGCCTATATACCTTAGCCTGGAATTGCAGAGTCTGCCTTCACAGACGAGAGTTTAATTGGTGCGGCTTTTCCAATGATCTCCAGGCCAGATTTTCCAATGCTCAGCACTCACCGTTGGGGCCATCCTCAGCAGTCCCCCACAAGCTGAACTCTTCTGAAAATTTGCCGCATTGGTGTCACTGCTGTGACAATGACCGATGTTAACAAAAGTCACCATCACAGTTAATATGTGGAAACCTTTTCCACTAGAAACTGAACTGAGACTCTCTTGAATGGCTGCATATCCCCACGGTTATCTATCCTTCTGTTATAATACTCTTCCTGTCTGTGGTTTTACATGTATACTGCGGACACCTGCAAAGTTCCGTATTGCCAGTCAGAAGTGATTCAAATACTTTTTGGATGCAGCTATGCTTGGTGCTTCTTTGTTCAGAGTACATCACCCTGAGTGTTGACCACAGGACATCAGGATCAAACTTCTCACTTTATTGTCTGCATTAGTGATTCTGGTGCTCCAGTTACCTGAAACTTGAAATCAGATGCCACTGATAGAGTGGGTTATTACACTTCCTGGGTTTGTGTCAGGCTTGCATCCCCAGTGAAATGAGTGTAATGTTACAAGCCTAATTGTGAGAGGACATCTAGAAAAACTATTTTATTTAGGGGCAAATCCTGTCCCCTTCTCTGTGGCTGTTGATGGCCTTTGAGCAGCAGAACCAGCATAGTTCCACTGCGCAAGTGTGGGAGGCTGGATCCAAGTGAGTCATGCAGCCCTGGCAAAGGATTGTCCTCTTACACATATATCCCCTAGGTAGTAGCACAGAGGAGCCAGGAGAGAGGTGAGTGTGGGCAAGCCAGGGGCTGAGCTAAGGATCTGCCTATGTGAGGAGCCTTCCATTCCCTCACTGGGGGAGAAGCCATGTAAGTGCTCCACATCAGTCACTGGGAAAAAATAACCACTGCAGAGTGTCTACATGGCTGCGCTGTGGCCTGTGGAGACTGATTCCTTTCCCTACCTCCCTCTTTATCTCCACAGCACCTGGCCAGCTGTATTTGGTCCTGAGTATATGTGAAGGGTCCACATAATAAAACCACAGCAAAACATAGTGCAATTAGCTGTCTGTACCAAGGAAAGCCTCAATTCCTAGAAGGCATGGCTGGTCAGAACTGACATGAATAGATAAAATATGTGGACACTTGTATAGTGCCAGGTTTTGGCCACTGCCATCTAGCTTTCATTTCCAGGAGCTTTACATTCTTCTCCTGGGGGCAATCTGTGCCTAAAAATTCTGTGCACAATATTTTAAAATTCTGCAAATTTTATTTATTAAAATAACACTACATAATCACACCAGTTTCAATTATTGTGGTAATTTATTTCAAAATATCAGCAAGTATGTCTGTAACAATATGGACACAAACAACAAATTTCCCCAGGAATAGAGAGTTAAAGAAACCCCTATGACATCCCAGTTCCTGTTTCTCTGCCCTTCCTCCCCCCCCCACCCCGATCCCAGGGATCCAGAGGGAGAAACAGCCTGATGCTCAGTCCCAGGCTTGCATGGAGTTTCCTAAGTACCGCCCTCAGGGACTGCAGCTGCTAGGAATCCTCTAACTCAGTGGTTTTCAAACTTTTTTTCTGGTGACCCAGTTGAAGAAAATTGTTGATGCCTGTGACAAAACAGAGCTGGAGATGATGGGTTTGGAGTGTGGGAGGGGCTCAGGGATGGGACAGAGGGTTGGGATGCAGGGGTGAGGGCTGTGGGGTGTGGCCGGGAATGAGGGGTTCATGGTGTGGGAGGGGGTTCTGGGCTGGGGCAGGGGTGTAGGGTGTGGGAGGGGGTCAGGGCTCTGGGCTGGGGATGAGGGGTTTGGGGTACAGGAGGGGCTCCGGGTTTGGGGGGGCTCAGGGCTGGGGCAGGGGATTGCGATACAGGTTTACCTCGGGCGGCTCCTGGTCAACGGCGCAGCAGGGGTGCTAAGGCAGGCTTCCTGCCTGTCCTGGCACCGTGGACCACACTGTGTCTGGAAGTGGCCAGCAGCAGGTCTGGCTCCTAGGCGGAGGTGTGCAAGCAGCTCCGTGCGGCTCTCGCCCACAGGCACCGCCCCCCGCTCCCATTGGCCGTTTCCCAGCCAATGGGAGTGTGGAGCCAGTGCTCGGGGTGGGGGCAGCATGTGGAGCCCTGTGGCTCCCCCGCCTAGGAACTGGACCTGCTGCTGGCCGCTTCCGGGGTGCAGTGCGGTGTCAGAACAGGTGAGAACTAGCTTGCCTTAGCCAGGCAGCACCACCGACGGGACTTTTAACGGCCCAGTTGGTAGTCCTGACCAGAGCTGCTGCAACTCAGTGCCTTCCATTCGCAACCCAGTATTGGGTCGCAACCCACAGTTTGAAAACCACTGATCTAGCTCCCTCTCCTTCCCCCCAGCCAAGTCCAGTGGCCCCTCATGGTGGCTAACAGCATTGCAGCCCATTTCTGTGGGAGGAAGGAAATTCTGTGCACACAATGTTAATTTCTGCAAAATTCTGCATTGTGTAGTGGCGCTGAATTCCCCCAGGAGTAATATTCATTTGGCTTAACTAAAGAAAAAACAAAGCAGCTGACTGCAAGAGTCTATCTACAGCTATAATAATTAAAAGTGTTTTACCCAGGGGCTCGGAGGAAGAGGTAGGCTGTGCACATGTCACTTGCTGAGCAATTGTTCAGTGATTTTGAGATCTGTGCTGGATGCATTGTCTGGATGTTTCTTCCCCTCCATTTTGATTCCTCTGATTAGGATTATTTCGTCTCAGATTAAGTGGAGGTCATTTATTTGAGACTCTAGAATGCTTTAAACCAAGCTTGGTCAAGAAGGTTTTTCATAGGATTGGAGCCCTATGCAGTTTATGGCATGTCTTTATACTCCTTGAAAAGACATTTGATTAGCAGGGTATGTATTGTTAAAGCATTGCTAATATTTGGGATCCTCTTTGCGGTTTGAATAGTTTGTGTTAAGGATTCATTGTAATACCATGTAGTTCTTAATGTGTTATTTGATATGCTTATGCTGTATGTTCAGGGGAAAGGATATATTGGGAATGAATGTGGTCAGGATGACTGGATGACTGCTTCTGTAATTTGAGAATATTCTCATGCGACTTCCTGAGAAAGATCACTTACACATCTAGTGAAAAGTGTTATGTTGATATTTATGAGCACAAATGATCAGAATCTAGGTTATACTTCTCATCAGAAAGACATCTCTTTCAAGAGCAGTGTCCTAGCACTGACTCCAAGGGAAGAGTGCCATCTACTGAGTTAGTAACATCAGCTTAAGAAGCACCTGGGCTTTCTTCAGAGGTCTTTCACACAGGTACTGATCAGGCCTAACCTTGCTTAGATTACAGCTCAAGGTGATATAGTGAGAACAGCTTTATTTTTTGTGACTTAATGCACCGTCTGGAAAGAAAATAACTTGTTTATGCACCATAATGCTCTACGACAAGGATTGTAGAAACTAACCATCATGACAGCAGATTCAGGGCCTGGGAGAGGTTATTTCAATCTGTCTCTGATACTGCTCATGAGAAAGGACATATCTGGAAGAAACTATCCTAAAATATTACTTTATTACACTGGGAATTTAACAAAGCAAAGAGATGAAGGAATCAAACAAAACCAAACTGGAAGAGGTGAAAAATGTGAGAAGCTGGTTATTTACCAAAAGCATCTGGGAAATATTATCCAATTATACCATAAAAAGAAGACATTTTGAAATCTGACAGAAAATAGTTAACCTACTTTTTATTACACAAGGAAGATATGCATCACAAAGTTATACATATGCACTCAGTTATTAGGATTTACTTTCTTTCTACTTTTTCCTAGGGCTTACAGATCAGCTCTGGAATATACCAAAAGAAGCCTTGGAATATTTATAGATCTTCAGAAGAAAGAGAAAGAGGCATATGCTTGGCTTCAGGCAGGAAAGATCTATTACATTCTGAGGCAGAATGAGCTAGTGGATCTTTATATTCAGGTATGCTGAATTTTATCTAGGCTTTAAAATAACTGTACCTCTGTGAAAATATGATGAATGAGATACAGATGGGATTATTATGGGTGATGTAGCAAAAGAGAAACTGTCTGTAATATAATGAGTCAAAAGAGCTCTTGTTTTGAATTGATTATGTGGGCTGCTTTGTTAAAGGTCTATCACAGAGGTGGACAAACTACGGCCCGCGGGCCACGTCGGCCCACGGGACCCTCCTGCCCGGCCCCTGAGCTCCTGGCCCGGGAGGCTGGCCCCCGGCCCCTCCCCTGCTGTTCCCCTTCCCCTGCAGCCTCAGCTCACTCTGCCGCTGGTGCAATGCTCTGGGCAGCAGGGCTGCGAGCTCCTGGGGCAGTGCAGCTGCACAGCCCGGCCTGACCCGGTGCTCTGTGCTGCGCGGTGGCGCGGCCGGCTCCAGCCGGGGGCGGGGCTGTAGCAACACCAGCCACCGGTGCTCCAGGCAGCGCGGTAAGGGGGCAGGGAGCGGAGGGGTTGGATAGAGGGCAGGGGAGTTCGGGATAGTAGGTGTGGATAGGGTGCAGGGCAGTCAGAGGGTGGGGAACAGGGGGGTTGAATGGAGGCAGGGGTCCCGGGGGATCAGTCAGGAAGGAGGCGGGGGTTGGATGGGGCGGCAGGGGGCAGTCGGGGTAGGGGTTCTGGGGGCAGTCAGGGGACAGGGAGAAGGGGTGGTTGGAGGGGGCAGGGGTCAGTCAAGAATGAGATGGGGGGGTTGGATGAGGCGGCGGGGGGCAGTCAGGGGCGGGGGTTGCAGGGAGGGTCAGGGGACAGGGAGCGGAGGGGGGTGGATGGGGCAGGGGTCCCGGGGGGCCATCAGGGAACAGGGGTGGTTGGATGGGCCAAGAGTCCGGGGAGGGGGGGGCTGGGACATGCCCCCCTCTCCTAACTGGCCCTCCATACAATTTCTGAAACCCGTTGCGACCCTCAGGCCAAAAAATTTGCCCGCCCCGGTCTATCAGCATGTCTATGCAAAATTTTGTTTTAGATTTGCTGTTTGGCTATGAAACATCATTTGGGGAATGACTTCTCTGCTCATAAGAACATAAGAATAATCACGCTGGGTCACACTATAGTCCATCTAGCCCAGTATCCTGTCTTCAGACACTGGACAATGCCTAGGGTGACTAGAAGTCCCGTTTTTATAGGGACAGTCCCGATTTTGGGGGTCTTTTCTTATATAGGGTCCTATTATCCCCCATCCCGATTTTTCACACTTGTGGTCTGGTCACCCTAACAATGCCAGATGCTTCAGAGGGAATGGACAGAACAGGGCAATTATTGAGTGATCCATCCCTGTCATCTAGTCCCAGCATCTGACAGTCAGAGGATTAGGAACACCCAAAGCATGGGATGCGTCCCTGACCATCTTGACTAATAACCTTTGATGAACCTATCCTCCATAAACTTATCTAATTCTGTTGTGAATCCAGTTATAGGTGTGTCCTTCACAACATCCCCTGGCAACGAGTTCCACGGGTTGATTGAGCATTATGTGAAGAAGTACTTCCTTTTGTTTGTTTTAAATCTGCTGCTTATTCATTTCATTGGGTTCTTACATAATGTGAAGGGATTAAAAAACGTTTCCTTATTCACTTTCTCCACATCATTCATGATTTTATAGACCTCTATCATATCCAGCCTTCGTCATCTCTTTTCTAATCTGAACAGTCCCAGTGTTTTTAATCTCTTCTCATATGGAAGCTCTTCCATGGTCATTTTTGTAGCCCTTCTCTTATCTATTTAGATTATAAAATGTTTGGAGGCTGGGATTGTCTTTTACTATGGGTATGTAATAGGCCCTAACTACCATAATACAAACAGAAATTAAATAAAAGGGTTATAAAACCTTATTAAGAGAGTTTGCAGAAAGTGAACAACAAGGCGCATGAGCCTATTGGGAATGAATTAATTTTAAAATATGACTGAGATTTCTTTGAAACCCTAATTTGACTATGGACACGCTATGTGCAGAAAGTGAGACTGTGTTTATTGAATACTATTCTCTATGAGTCATTCAGTCACCTCTCTGGAATGCCCCAAAGAGCTTTACAATCTGTTACCAAGAATACTGACACTTTTTAGAAAAGATACATTACAGTCTTATTAATTTTTGCTAAACGAATCCACACACTTTATACTGTATTTCATCTGAGCAGAGTATTGAAGTGAAAGTCTCATACTGCTTAGACTTACTGTACAGTTTTGTGATCATAATTAAAATGAAGCTACTCTTGTCAAATAAATTAACGAAGTGCAGTTGGTGTTGCATTCTCTTTTTAGTGTATGTGCTCTTGTTTGCCTGTCCACACAATTTAATCATTGGCAAGAATCATTGCATTGCAATGGCCACTGAATGAATTAGCAAGGTTCTGCTGTACTATTGCGATATATATGGCTGTAATATTGATAAAGCAGGAATACTTAATTTTCTTTATTCACATGCTTTTTCCCACTATGTCTTGTAAATTATATCCTTCGGGATCAATAACTGAGTATCCTGTACATGGCAGCATTCCTTCATTTTATTGAGTGTGTCCTGACATTTCACTGTGTCTGAAATGGCATAAGTTCATTTCCCAGCAGCAAGACAGAGGGACAAATTCTTTGCTCACTTTAAGGGAACCTCACTCAGCTACATAATTAGAGCATTTGGCCACAGACTTAAACCTGAGCTATAAACCCTCACTCTGTGAAATATCCAATTTTCAATTCCTGTTTCTATCTAGATTAGCTGTTAAAGTGTATATGGTGTAGCTATTGAGTATGTATGCTACAGTACTAAAGAATACTGTATATTGGACTGAACAGCCTTACAGTGAAAAGAGATAGATAAGATGACGTAAGAAGACATTGCTGTCTCTAAGGTTTCTAATTTTGTACAGCAGGTACCAAAACCCATATACAATGCATTTCATTATGGGGTTTTAGTTCTGAATGAATAAAAATTACTTCGTAACAGAATGTGCATTTTTCTTCCTAGGTTGCTCAAGATGCTGCTCTTTGTAATGGGGATCCAAACTTAGGAATGGAATTGTTTGAAGCTGCAGGAGACATATTTTTCAATGGTACCTGGGAGAAGGAAAAAGCAGTGTCATTCTACAGGGTTAGTGATTGTTACTTATTATTTGTATTGTGGTGCTCATAGCAGCCCCAGTCATGGACGCCATTGTTTTCGGTGCAAACAGACTGTTCCTGCCCCAAAGAGCTTTACAATCTGTTCTATATTACTACTCTGAATTCTCTCAAATCCCTGGTTTCACTGAAGTAAATTGCAAAGCAACCTTTGACTTTGATAGGGCCAAATCCCATTTTTATATGCATAAAGCAAAGTACAGAATTTGCTAAATGTGAGACGAATATGGGCCATAGCAGTTAAGAGTACACATGTTTTCTGGGCTTCAGCAATAACCAAACTGATCTTTTTATGCATGTGCTTATTTCAGGACAGGGCTCTTCCACTTGCCATTAAGACTGGAAACAAAAAGGCAGAACTCCGATTATGCAACAAACTAGTGCAATTGCTGGTAAATCTACAGGATTCTGAGGACAGTCTGGAATATGCACAAGTATCCCTCACACTTAGTGTGAAGTTAGGTAAAGCTAATATTCACAGACTACTGACTGTCAGACTTCTATTATCATTGACAGAATTCTAGAGAAGAGTTGTCACTTCCTCCTTTGCATTTCATGATGCTTTTTGCCAAGGTTCTGTGTGCTAGGAAGCCAATACCATTTTCCCTTCTGTTTTTGGATCCCCTCTAGCTGGAACAGGTGACAGTTCTTGAGTTCTATTAGTTTTTTGTTACATTTCTTAACTTAGCGGAGTCCGGTAATGTTCTGCCTAACATTTTCTTAATTAGTTCACAGAACTGTAAGTAGTGATCTGAGATTACATGTTTCAGGGGGCAATTTCCAGATGAATCCATCTGAAATCTAGCAATTGTTAGCATTAACCCTCTCCAGGTCTCACTTACTGTACATGAGAAATGTGAGGAATGGAGACTTGATCTGACATGCTGCACCTTCCATGCTGACCAGAGAATATGGAGCAGTCTGTTAACATGAGACACAAGATATAGTTCTTAGTGTGTACCTGAATCTGCCAGATTCTTGTGTTTATGGGTAATTTCTCCTTGAGAATTTTCAAGTCCCTTGTTCCCCATTGTCTGAGTGCCTCACAATCTTTAATGTATTTATACTCAAAAGATACCTATGAGGTAGGGAAGTGCTATTACCCTATTTTACAAGTGGGGAAATGAGGCACAAAGAGATTAAATGACTTGCCCAAGGAAGCACAGGGAGTTTGTGGTAGAGCAGAGGTAGACCCTAGGTCTGCCAAATCCCAGGCTAATGCCGCAACCACTGGATCATCCTTCCTCTCCTCCTTTCACATAAGACGGAGTGATTAATACTAATTAATTAGAAGTAGCCTTAAAGAGCTATCTGGGGCACTGTCTGTGACTTTGACTCCTTCCTTTCTTCAGTGATGAATAGAGCTGATTAAAAAATCAATAAAGAATTTGTGGGTATTTTTCAAAATTTGTTACTTTCCCCCCAAATGCATGTAAGACTTACATTACAAGGTAATGTCAGAGTTACTGAAACTTGTTAATGTTTTTCTACTGTTAAACATCGCTGATCAACTCTAGAGCTGGTTGAAAGAACAGAAAATTTTGACAAAATCTTTGATCAGAATTTTTGGGGGAAAAGGGGGGAATTGGTAAAAATTTTTGATGGAAAATGTTGTTGAAATTAAGGCTATGTCAGTCACATCAAGTGATAAGAATGTAGTCAAGACCTGAGATCCTACTAACAGAGATTATCTCCTTTGATATGGGGTAAAGTACCACCAACCATAAAATATTAGATTATCCAACCAGTACTAAGAAAATCATTGTTTGATGCTAGAGTCCTCACAAAGGCATATGACACACCTACTCTCACACCCAAATATTTAACCATAAACTTAAAAACTAATCAATATATATCTTCCATAGGCTGGAAAAGAGGAAAGAGAGCAAATGCTATCATTTTTATTTTCAAATATTTTAAAGGCAATCATACTGCAGTGTTGGGGGGGGAGAGATATCTAACTACTTAAATTCAGCAACTCTTACTTAGAAATCAGAACTGCAGTATTTGGCCTTGGATTTAGTCAGGCAAAGTGATTTTATATTGAATAAAGTTTAATTACCAGAACTAAATAAAAGGAAAGGTAGAACAGAAATAATACTTAAAGCAAAACACCTCACATATCTCAATGTGAGAGAATGTATCTTCTCCTCATTGTCTCTTAGATCGTATCCTCATTCACATGTTATTTCATTAGGAAATCAGCTAAATGAACGAATAGCATATCACAGACTGGCTACTATCCATCATCGCCTGGGTCAGTGCGAACTTGCTGAACACTTTTACTTAAAAGCGTTGTCCCTTTGCTCCTCTCCTCTGGAATTTGATGAGGAATCAATGTATTATGTGAAAGTGTATCTAATCCTAGGAGACATTATATTCTATGACCTAAAGGTGAGAAATATTTTTATTGATTGATTTGATTGCTGTAGTACCTAGGAGCTGTAGTTGTGGACAAGGATCCCATTATGTTAGGTCCTATACAAACAGAGAACAAAAACAAAGTCCCTGCCCCAAAGATCTTACAAACTACATTTGAGAGAAAAGGCAACAAATGGATAGAGACAGACAGAGATGGAAGAATACAGGGACACAATGAGATAATATTGGTCAGCACGATAGACTGTGGTCTCAGCATGCCAGCAGCTTATCTATTCTCAAGTTTTTTGTAGGCATCCTGGAAAAAGAGAGTTTTGAGGAAGGACTGAAGGAAGACAGTGAATTAGTTTTGTGGATGTTTACAGGGAGCATTTCCCAAGTGTGAGGGGCAGCATGAAATAAGGAATAGAATGAGATACTAAAATAACAACTGTGGAAAATATATTTGCATCAGCTTATGTGTCAGCCCAGACATTTCACCTGGATAATCCTGCTACCCATGTATTTTGGGTGGAATAGCTCAGAGCTGTGGGGATTAGAGAGCTCAGTGCATTTTTAATGGAATATAGAGCTTTCTAGTATTTGGTACAAGTTCATCCCAAGTTCCTCAAGGACAGATTTCTAGCATACTGTTTATGAACTCTCATACCAATTGGTGCTCTCAGTGGAGAGACCAGGGACCAAATAAGCATGGAACCTGAACTGCCATCTCCTCCCCAGAGGTGGTCCCTCTTGTTCTGGTCTGAAGCAGAGTCATGGTGCAGTATGGAGAAGGTGGTTCCACTGTCTGCTCTGTGGATAAACAAAGTTTGCAGTCTTCACAGCCGTCAATCCAGCACTTTTCACAAATACTACGTTCACATTCACATTCACAAACCAGGTTTTTTTAAAAAAAAAATTCTACATACATTAGACAGAGAAAAAAAGTAATACTGATATATTGAAATTGAATGATATTGTGTAGAATAACCTATAGATAGGGAAGGTAAAATATCTGCGAAAGCATTAGAAAAAAGGATGGACCATACAGCAATATCTCAATAAAGATATGGAGAGAGGAGAATGGTTAATAGCTATCTAAGGGATAGAGTGGGAGCTCAGGGCCTAACCTGCTTAGATGTTTTAAAAACCTCACTAGGCACCTATCTGCATCTTTAGGGGGTCTAAATACCTTACAAAATCTGGCCGTAAGTGTCTAATCCTTAATTTTGCCTGAGTAGAGCATTTAGAATTGGGACCCAAATTATCTCTTGCTTTGATATCTAATAAACCAGGTTTGTATACTTCTTAATATAACATATATTCCTTTTTATTTCAGGATCCTTTTGATGCAGCAGGATATTATCATTTGGCACTTGCAGCTGCCATGGACTTGGGCAACAAAAAGGCTCAGCTGAAGATTTACACAAGGCTCGCAATAATCTACCACAATTTCCTTATGGATCGGGAGATGTCTCTTTTCTTCTATCAGAGAGCAAGAACCTTTGCAACAGAGCTTAACGTTCGGAGAATAAACCTGGCACCTGATCAGTATTATAAGAATGCAACATGGGTACCTGTGAAAAATGCCATGTGACAACCTACCAGGCAGCTAGAGAAATATCATTTTGGTTTTGTCAGACAACACCTAATGTTCCTTGATATTCTGTATTGTACATAATGTATATGGGACTTCAGTGCCACAGGCTAATGGCCCTGTCTAGACAACAGTGGGCCAAATTTCACTTTTGTTGACTCATGTGCAACCACATTTTCTTCAATGGAATTGGACATGGACATGTCAGGGCAGAATTTAGCCTAACTGAACTAACTAAAAAACCCACCCACAAACTTTTTTGTATTAGAAGACATTTTCTGTATTAAGTGCTTAAGTTCCTGGTTTTGAAAACTCATACAGGTCTTGGAATGTGATAAATATAAGTATGCAATGAAGTGTGGTAATAAAGCATTGTAGAGTGATAACATTCACTAGATAATCATGACCGCTTTTGTATTTAATGGGATCAACACCATTAAAATAGAGCCTAGGTGCTTTTGAAAATCTTATTGGGCACCTAGCTGCATCTTTATACACTTAATACCTTTAAAAATCTGGCTCTTGAGCTCCTAAATCCCATTGACTTTCAATGAGACTTGGGTTCCGAAGTGCCTAAGTCCCATTTGAAAATGGAATTTAGGTTCTTAAGCCACTGGGGTGCTTTTGAAAATTTCACCCCAGATAAGATAGGTTTGATTCACTATTCATTTATGTTTCTAGGAACCTGAAAAATCTTCTGCTCATAAGATATGATGCTGCTACATCCTTTAATATAGTCTGGGAACTGTGAATATCTGAACAGAGCAGTCAGCCTTGAAATCTTCCTAGATTATGAGAAGTTGAAGGTCTTGCCATAGGTCATTAGAAAGGTAATTTCCCCCAGATTTATAATAAGTTTCCAGATTCAAGTATTAACCTAGTGATGCAACAATCCGGGAGTTAATGCACCTCACTTCACAGCTGGGTCGCAACCTGCAAACTTGAAGAACTTCAGCCCAAGTGTCTAATTATGATCTCTCCAGAATCGGGAAGATTGCAGGAGGCATTGCTTCTCCGCTCATTACTTTGCCTCTTGTCAATTTCTCACAGCCACAGCACAAGTCAGTTTTCTGTTCCAAGTTGTCATTCAGAATAAATATAATTATAGCAATTGGAAGTAGAGAGAGTCTATCATCACACTCATATTCCAGGAAGAGGGGGAGGTTTAGATTGGATATTAGGAAAAACTTTTTCACTAAGAGGGTGGTGAAACACTGGAATGCGTTACCTAGGGAGGTGGTAGAATCTCCTTCCTTAGAGGTTTTTAAGGTCAGGCTTGACAAAGCCCTGGCTGGGATGATTTAACTGGGATTTGGTCCTCCTTCGAGCAGGGGGTTGGACTAGATGACCTTCTTGGGTCCCTTCCAACCCTGATATTCTATGACTCTATAAGAGAAAATATACTTCATCTGAAATTCAATTTTGCTGTAAAGGCCCATCTTCTTCTTTGCATCACTGCTTCCTGCTGCTGCCCTGGCACTGCAGACTCGTACTCACATAGCATTTCAGTCCCCTACATTAATTCATTCTTATGAAGCGAGAGTGTGCTTATGCGGTGCACAGCACACTCTGGATATCTTGTGCATTACCCTGAAGCCAATTGAAAAGCACACAAAATGTGATCAGTCATCGGCAGGTTTTTCGAAAGGCAGCACCTGAGTTCTGTAACAGCTTTGGTGGTACAGGCATGCTGTGTTTGTTTTTGTGCAGTGGCGGGTTAAAAATGAGTCAGAAGCATCTGATTTCAAAGAAAGATTCATGTTTAGACATATATATATATATGAGTGAATGGCATTTAGGCATCAAAGCTACTTCTCACCCTGCTTGATATCATCTTCGTCAAGAATGGCAACAGTGAATATTTCCTAGGATGCCCAAGTGTGAATGTCAGAATTTAGGGTGAGAAAGTGGTGTGGTCTGAAGGATAAGAGTAGCATGTTTTATTGCTTTTAACAAGATGACAGCAGTGTTGAGGGATCTTGCTTGTGGAACTTGACTGCAATTAAAATTATTTAATTTGAATCATCTGCCTTACTATGGAACAGAATATAACTTCCTAAGCTTGTTAAGTGCTCAGTCTTGCAACCCTTAATCATGAGGTGCCTCACTGGAGCCAATGGGATGCCTCAACATGAGTAGATGGGCCTCAAATCTGTAAATTTCCTCTTAAAAAAAGTTTTCTATTGTATATTGTAGAGCCAGCTATTGTCACATAAATGGCTAATTGTAGGTAGCTAAGAGAGGAGTCTTTCTTCCATTTCAATGAAGCAAACGGGCAGAGCAGCATGGATTTCAGCACATCTTAAGAATCTAGATGTCTTACATTATAATCCACATGATACCAGGAGAGGTCTCTGCAAGGAGTTTTTGAGGAGCCATAGGATCTAAGAATATGAAGATCTGGTGGTCCTAAAACCCAGCACAAGTTGTATAGAAAGGCAGGAGCCACTATTCTATTTTAGAAGGATACAGATAGAAGGAATATAGGCATCTCTTCACCTATTGCTTCTGCATCCGCTGCTGAAGCTCAAAGCGGACCACACAGTTTTCCGTGGATGTATTTCCCTGCCTAAATACAACCTGAGATCTCCTTGGGCTCCCTGGCAGAGATACAACTGAGCACATTTTTGAGAACCCTCTCACCCGCCAGAGCTTGTCATTTGGGATTTGTCATTTAAAATATAGTGTAACAGGGTGGCCTGCCCCTTTAAGGGCCGGTCAACCCAGTTCAATTAGCCTCACCCTGCTACACCTGTGCAGGAGGTAGGACTTAAAGGCGGAAAATTTAGTGGTTGCGGGCATGCTGGGGATGACAATGGATAGGCTGCTCTGACGTGAGACAAGAAGCTGGACTCAAGCTAGGAACTAGCTGGGGGTTATGACCTGCCAGAGGCCCTGTAGGAGGGTAGCTCTGACCCAGATGGATGACTGGAACCCGGAGCTGGTGGTTAGACAGTGAAACAGACTGTTGCCATTGGGAGCCTGCCGGTAAGGAAGGGGTCTGAAGGGTGAGCCCAGCAGGGCTGAAGACTCTCTTTTGTTTTAATGTTGATTTCGGACATAGACCAAGGCACTCTGTTTCTCTGGAAGGGATTGAATATCAAATCACCTCTATGGGAGGAGTAGGCAGAACCAGTTTGGGGGAAACTGATGAGGTGGAAGTACCACAAGGCTGGATCTCGCTGCAAAGGGACTGCTCTGGGATGGTGAGTCTTGTTCACATAGGTTATAGCCATGTCAGGTATGGCTTTAGTAAAGGGTCACATCAGTAGTATTTGTTTTTTTTTACTTTAACAAACAGAAACCTTTAGCATGTTCTGTTCATTATCAAATACTTAGGTAAAGAAGCTGTACGTTAAAAATGACACCTGACAGCAGTCCTTGTGCTTCAGAGAAGGAGCTAAATTCTAACTGGAGATGGGAAATTATTTTCCTTCTTGTATAACAGCAGAATGTTCAATTGATCAACTGCTTTGTTTTTTCCCCTTCCTTACTGTAAGTGCATCAGCTATCAAAGCCCAGGGTGGGCTAATGACTAGTTATGGAATGTCCGTTCCTTTTTTTACTAGTACATATAGAATGTTGATGCAGACTTTACAAATGTCTGGCCTCAGCTTTTCTTTATTTACACCAATTCTCATAGATTCTAAGGTCAGAAGAGATCATTATGATCGTCTAGTCTGACCTCCTGTGTAGCACAGGCCAGAGGAGTTCCTTGAATGCATTTCTGTTTGAACTGGAGCATATGTTTTAGAAAAACATCCAAATGTGAATTAAAAATTGCCAGTGATTGCCACCAGGACCCTTTTAAAAAAAACGGTGTCTTCTATTCAGTCTGAAATAGTCTAGTTTCAACTTCCAGCCACTGGATTCCATTATACATTTGTCTGCTACACTGAAGAGGCCACTGTTAAGTTTTTGTTAGGTACTTACAAACTGTGATCAAGTCACCCCTTAACTGTTTGTTTTGTACCGGTGTAAACTTTATTCTCTTCAATGAAGTTATTCCTGATTTACCAGTGAATACATTCTTCTAATAAGTTCAGTCTTAGTAACTTTTTTCTCTGACTTTAGGAATGTACTATAGAATATATGGCATCACTACTCTTCATCCACAAGGTGGCAGTTTCTAGCTTTAAAAAAAACAGACCTCCCAAAGGAAAGTTTGGATTCAAGATAGAAACAAAAATTGTTATAATTAAAAAATCTGCTGACATCAGGTTGAAGTCAACAGATATGATTGCTGAAGAATTTATTCAGTTAATAAATATACACCACTCATTTGAAATTAACTAAGTTTGAATAAAATATAAGGGCCCAATGAAGTACTAAAATGCATTCTGTGTGCTTGATTCTGTTCTCAGTTACACCATATAAATCGGGAGTAACTCCATTGAAGTCATTACAGTTACACCAGTGGGATTGGGTTCAGAATCAAGCCAAATTTCTCCATTCAAAGGGAAAGCCAGGGGTATTGTATTTGCCTGGTTTGTTTTACAGTTACATAAATGGCCACGTGCACTGGGTTATTTTTGTCTTGCAGCACACAGATAAAACTACAGATTAGTATGGTTGTAGAATTTTAGGGCTAAATTCAGCAACCTTCACTGGAGCAAGACTCCCATCAAAGTTAATGGGAGGCTTGCTCAAATAAGGACCACAGAATATGCACCTTAGAAATTATGGGCCAAATACTATAGCTCAGTAATGCCCCTCTGGCAGGGCAAAGGGGCCATAGATCTGCCCCAAATGGGCATGGTACAAAAAATGGGCAAAGAGGGTTGTGTGACAAATGGGGCATCAATGTCAGCATCGTTGGCAGAGCAGAGGGGATACAACAAGAAGTGGATGAGTAGAAAGTGGCAGAGGTATGCAGGACTTGGAATTTAATGCTGAGGAGAAGGGGGAGTCAGCGGAGAGATTTGAAGAGTGAAGTGAGGTATTAGAATGACAGGCAAGAAAGAGGATCTTACCAGCTGCATATGTGTGGAGTAAAGGGGGGAGGGGGGACAGAAAAGGAAGTGATCAAGATGGAAGATGGTGAAAGCCGGGATGAGAGTTTTAGCAGTATGGACAGAGAGAAAGGAGATGTGTATTTACAGTGCTATAGAAATTAGAATAAAAATCTGAGCCGTGATATACACTTTAACATTAATGAGGTGGCCTTAACCTTGTCGGGCATTTGTGATTTTATGTCCAACACTTAGTGTTAGTTTGATAGATTTTTTTTTTAAATTATATACATGTGTGCACTACACAGTGTGTATTTATAGAGGGACCTGTATATGCAGGGCTCCCATATATTAAAGGATGCTATATAACCTACTATGAAATCATACCCCAAATTAACTGTCAGCCTTTTAATCCAAGCTGTGTCTTCCAAAGTTTGTGA